GCATGTCAATTCCACCTTTCCAGGCTGTGAAGAAGACGAAACCGCCGAAACGTCAGCTATTTTATCCTAATAAATCCTACAATATCAATCCCGTGTTTGCTTATGGAAGAAAAACAGTGTTGTATTTTTTCTGGGCACACCGAAATCACTGATAAATTCTACCTTTAATAACTATTATTTCAGTCAAATCGTGAGTGGATGACGGAGAACTGTCAAATTTCGTGCGGTAGCTGCAAACGAGGTATGAGATAAACAGTTCGTCGAATTTTTTAAATGTCGTATGAAATCTCTATCGCATTCGCTATATATTTTCGAACTATCAAAATACAGATCCCATCCCAGCCGTTGATTCTACTCCAAATTCTGACAGAATTTCATATTCAACAAGTTACTCCAAAAAAATTGTGTGCTGTGTATGCGTGGCGGAGTGGCAGCAAAGTGGACGATGTGCATTGCATCCAATGCGGTATTGCATCCAATAGGCTGTCCTCGAGACTCCAAAGAACCACAGTGGCTAAACCAGCAAAACTCCGAAAATGGAGATTATGTTGGGAGCCGCGCAACCAATGAGGACGGGCCGTGCAACTAAGTATCCAAGTAAATAGTAGCACGGATATAACGTGTACTCCTAAAGCGATAAACTAAAGTGCCTTCTACAATCCAGACAGGATTTCACCGTTCAAGTCCATTAGTTGCAGAAAAATTTTCGTTCATTTTTTAGAAAACAAGTCCGTGACCCTATGAGGCACCGTCCAACGCGGCTGCCATGCAAATTAGATCACAGGGCATAATATGTAAAAAGTATATATTGTTTTTTAAACTCGCCGTTCGTAGAACATTTGCGCATTGAGTCGAATTTTGATGTGACTCTCTTCCTCTCCATCTTTACTAGAAATCCGACTTTTCGACTTTGTTCTACGGAGCTAGTAAAGAAACATCATACTGAGGTTAGACCGCCGCAAATTACAAAAGACGCTAAATGGATGACACCACAAGCGCCTTGTGGTAGTGTCACAGTCAAAAAAGTTGGGCGACTAGCTACATATAGACAGCTTTGCGATTTACCGAAGAACTTTGCAGAATTGTTTATTGAACCAGTCTCTCAAATCCGATCGTGAAGGTAGATGATCGAAAAGACTGAAAAGAATTTCTTCGTATTTTTGTTGAGCAAACGTGAGGTGTTATTATTCCTTATTCACGAATAAGCTGACGGTTCGACGGATTTCGCCTTCCTCAGAGCCTGGAAAGGTCAAGTTGATAGCAATCTACTCGGCCAGACGCCTCCATAACCAAACAAAGAAACTCTAAACCAAGATTTCAATCACATTAAACACAGCTTTGCACACTCACCGCTTTCTATGAGGTTTCCACTAAGTATGTCACGTAGAGACCAACCGCACAGAAATCACATGGAAGCATAATGTGCCCCTCCCATGGCATGACTACTTGGCTTTCGGTACCACTTTGTAATGTAGCCATTTTCTGATAGGTGAATTTGTACATTCAAAAATGGAAGCCATTTTTCTTTCGGCTTTTCTCGGGTGAATTTGATATACGTGACTGTGCGTTTAACAATTCGAAGCATTTGTCCATTTCCTCTTGTGTTGAGCAAAGGACAAAGCAGTCGTCTACATACCTACAGTAGAGTAGCGGCCCGAGATCAGTCACCGGTGCTTCCACCTTAGACATAAATGCAATGGCAAGGCTTGGAGCCAGTCGTTGTCCCATTGCCAACCCTCTTATTTGAGCGTAGTACTTTCCAGACCATCTGAAGTTTGAGCAGCTCAAGCATTCTTTTAAGAGTGCCATCAGGTGCTCTATCCTAAAGCCATACATGTTTATTTCTCCTTCGTGTTGTGTAAGGAGTTCGAATATGGCTTGCATTGCGGTGTCATTGGACACGTTTGTATAAAGGGCGGTAACGTCGAAGGACTCCATCACGTACGCGCTGTTGGGCTGCGCAGTACGTAGACGATCCAGAAACATCTGAGTATTCGTAAGATGGGTTGGAATGTGTTTCAACAACTGGTTAAATATCAGGGTTAAAAACCATCTTGTCCTGTCCGTTGGCCCGTCTACACAGCTAATGATAGGTCTAACCTTAAACAGTGATGGATCGGTAGACGCAAGATCATCGCTGGACACTAACTTATGAGTTTTTATAAGTACAAGACGGGCATATTGGTAAATCAACTTTAAGTTGAGAGATAACTGCTGGCTAACCGTGTTAGGAGGCATAACTCTCCCTGACGGTGCGCGCTCGTTATTAGAATCGGGACCAAGTTTCTCACCATCTGAGCCCATTTCAAAGGTAACCTTGCGTAAGGTCGCATGTAGTTTGCATAAACTTCTGGGTAGAATCCGCAAAAAAGCTAGAGATGAAACGCAGAATAGGTGCGAACAACACCAAGTGGAGGCCCTAGCAATAGCACCATTTCCTTAGCCGTTCTTTAGAAAACAAGAGCCCAACAGTGAAGTTGATGTCAAATTTCGGATGTTTACGAATGAAACTCTCAAAGTCCTCAATCACTATCGCGCGAAAAGATACAGCTCAAACCTCACTGAAGTGCAAAAACGTGGTATGCGAGAGGTACGAGACCTGATAAGGTTGAAAACATAAGGCCATCCGTTAGTGATAAGGGTGGAGTGTTTGCCGTAATTCCCCATCAGTTAGATGTGGAGATAGCGAAAAAGCATCTTGAAGATGCTTCACTTTATCGCTCATCATCTGAGAAGGAATTTAAAAGTAAATACCGAAAATTGAACCACGAATGGGCCAAAATGGCAAGGGCTGCTGGTTTAAAACCATCAGTTATCTCTCAACTTAAAGTTGACTTACCAACATGCTCCATCTTGTACTTACTTATAAAGACTCAGAAGTTAGTATCCAGCGATGATCTTGCGTCTACCGATCCATCGCTATTTAAGGTTAGACCTACCCGCTACTAGCACCATTATGCCGTTGAGGTACTGACTAACACCGATGCATAGACATCGCTTTAACAGACTCGGTTTAGTCGATGAGATAATCTTTTAGTTCAATATTTCATTTTTTAACTATTTTTTTCAAAATAGCACCACTTCTGTGCGAACGTAGTAAAACGGTCGAATGAAAAACGCAAGAAGCAAAAGCTCAAAAGAAACGAAAGTGAAAAAACTTGTCAGAAACATTCTCTAACAGGCTTAAGTGTTGGTGGAACTGTAACCGAAGCCATAAACATGCTCATTTCATCCAATGATGAGCCACACAAGTAATAGTTGTATAAAACGAAGGTCTATTGGCTTGGCCAAACTCCACGATAAAATATGGACCATACTAAAATAGTTAGTAGGAAGCTGTGTAAATTGCTAACCAAAAGTGATTTGTTTCGCTTATAATTTTTTCTTAGCAACAATAATATTTCATGGATTTCCGTGAACTCATGGTTAGTGGATGTGGCACTCATGGAAAGTCTCCGGGTTTGCCGATATTTCAGCGGCAAATACAAAGTTTTCAGACAATTTTTTAAAGATGGCGTAGTGCAACTGCTCACAGCAGCCGTTTTAATAGACCGGAAGAATTGCAATAGGTCACCCTGATACTACGAGGTTTTGTTGCAAGATTAGTTCTGGTCAAGGTAGAAGCGTTGCGATAAATCTCATTCCTATCAAAAGTACTAAGAAGTATAGCTTTCTTTCAGCAAATGCTTGAGTGTTAGGTGTGAATGAAGTGAATGAACAACCTTGTGTTGATTTGGTTACGCAGTTTTTTCTTTCATTGTGTCTCTATTTGAAGAACGTTGCAGAGAATTCGTCTTTCATCGTCGATGGTGATGCTCGAGAAGTGTCCGTTTTAGTGCTGTTCTGAAATTCTACAATTAGTCAAGGATCCATTCCCAACTTTTTTCCACATCCGTTACAGTGAAATTAAGTGCTTCAAGCTGAATTCTCCTGCGCCGTATTGAACAACTACTACTTTACTCTCACCTAGGGCCTACATCCACTCAACAGCTAAACGGCTACAAATCCTTCATGGCATGGAGATTCTTTTTTTGGCTTCTGCTCTTACTCGGTTCTGGTTTTAAAACTAGTTTCACTTCTGACTGGAGAGAGGCGGGATTTTCGGACCTTGAAATGATAAACTAGTTTACTTCGCTTTTCGTGGCCATTGACACGTCATATCATTGCAAGATGGCCAACTACTAAGGCGAGAGAGCAGTTCAACGAAAGGAATGTCTAGTTTCCTTCCCTTCACTATTTTTTACATTTTCTCCAATTTGTTAAACTTTGATATTTTCTCTTCTGCTCCATTCTTTTGAAAAAATAACCGGTAAAATTCTAAACAAATGTTTCTTCCACACTGGAAGCGTCTTTGCACAAACGTTGAAATTCGCTGTTTGAATTTCCCTTCCGATTCTATCATTCTTCGTTTTAGGTTGAAAAAATCGCTCATATTTTTCTAACTTAGGATTCTGATGTGGTTTCGATCTCAGTGAAAATCTAGTAATACCGATAAACCGTAATCAGAAGATTATTGCAGTGATCAACTCTATAAGCAATGAAACACGTTCTTTTAGGTGTGACGAGAACTCAACGGCCACTAAGAATTCTGTCTTCACCTCGGCCTTCCTCAACGGTTGGTAGCACCCGGAGTCGACGGCCTCTACACCGAATTCGTCGCCCAACGTCACCTCAGAATCAGAATTTTCGACTCACTGGGTCAACTAGGCCATTCTTAACTACCCAAAAAACATCTTCCAGAAAGGCAACTGTACCACCCAGAACTAGGCAATTTGCGAGGTACGGTCGCATAAATAATAGAGTTTTAATTTGCTTCAAAGGTAATTGCTAAAAAGAAAAACTTGCAAAATTTTTTAGTGAGAGTACTTGATCTGTTGTTGGCGCACTTAACAGCGAAAATTCAACGAAATGCACAATTTCAAACTTGGATCAGCTAGAGACGAGTACACTTTTAATCATTCTATACATTTTCATACACGGAGCTGTCATTAAATACCACCTTACTCATGTTTACTCAAGCACTTGTCACGTCCTTCGTTCTTGCAAAAGCGTTGAGCAAAACAACAGCTTCCGATATAGCACCAAAACTGCATGACAAGATGAAGATAGAAGAAGAAGAAGAAGAAAATCATTGAACGCTTCTCGTCTTTTTGGCTAAGGTCAAAGAAGAAGATACCACTAGAAAATACAGTCTCATCAGCATTCAGAATACCCTCCACCACGACAACTACCGCCGCAATCAGGACGACTCGACCATCCTCTTTCGTTTTCGACAGGAGCGTTGCAAGTATCATTGCACCGACTACGGTTTCGCCGACGCGAACAACGGCGGCGTAAGTGGCACTACTCTATTCACCTACAAAGTTTCCTTCTCTAAGTTGACACAACTCTCGCGTAAGTTCCACAACTTATGCTTCTGAAATTCATCTTCAAAGAAAGTCGGATTTTATACGTTACTAACTTCGACTACCTCAAACTTATAGTCATATGTATCACCTGCAGTCCTGTTCATCGTCGAGTGACTTGAGCGAGCACCAGTAAATCTTCCATTTTTCCCTGTCGCGTGCAAGAGTAGCCCAACGGGTTCTGCTCGCTCTAGGGAGTCGTCGAGCATCATATCTTTCTTCAAGGCTCTTTGTGAAGAACTCTGACCATCGGCTGGGTGGTCTTCCTGCAGTTCGTTTAACATCCCAAGGAAAACAGTCACTAATGGTTTTCTTCGTAATGGCTGGTCACTAATAGCTTCTGGCTTTTGTAATAGTCACTAGTGGCTCTTGTCCATTGGTTCTCATTCATACGCATTACGTGTCCAGCCCACCTTTTCTTCGACTGTTTGGCGTACAGAGCGGGATCTTTAATTTTAAAAGTGACGCTGATCGAGGTTTCGGTTCCCATCCCTTACTTGTGTGGAACGGGATACTCCTTCTTTCAACTGCGCGTTCGATAACGCTGAGAGACCTACCATCGTGCTTACGCAGCAAGGTTTCTGACGCATACGTTAGCGCAGGAAGTACCGTTGAGTCGAAAAGGTGGGCACGGAGTCGGGCGTTTTTTTTCCTCTTCACTGCATCCCCGATGCTCTTGAAAGCTTCCCAAGCCGCTCGTTTTTTTTCTGCTCTCTGGAGCTAGGTCGTCCATCATATTGATTTCCCAATCTAGATAGATATAACTGAAGCATCCGGAGAAATTCGTTCCGTTGAGCGTTAATGGGTCACACCAAACCAATCGGTTCCTCATAAACATCATGTTTGTGAGATTTAGTAGAAGACCGATCTTTCCACAGGCTTTATCAAAGTCGGCAAGAATAGGTTCCGCTTGGCTAATGTTTAGTGTTATAAGGACGATGTCATCAGCAAAGCCAAGATGGTGTAACTGCCGACCGTCGATTTTCACTCCCATATTATACTACTCCACTGTTCGCATAACGTTCTGGAAGGTGGCGGTAAATAATTTTGGCGAGATGGTATCGCCTTGCCTAAATCCTCTTTTGAAGTCAATGTTAATATCGTTGTAGGATGGTGATATCTTAGTGGTGAAATTTTTGTACAGCTCACGAAGATTCTTTATGTACTGAGCAAGGACTCCTTCACTATCAAGGGTTTCCAAGACTGCTTCTATCTCAACTGAATCAAAGGCCTTCTGTAAATCGATGAAAGTGAGACAAGGCAGTCTTTTGTATTCTCGCGATAGTTCAATGAGCCGTGTTGCCCTGTGAATGTGGTCCATCGTACTAAATCCTCTTCGAAACCCTGCTTGCTCACATGGCTGTCCTTCGTCTAGTGCTCTGTCAAACCTGTTTAGGATGACTCGAGTGAAAAGTTTGTAGACGACAGAAAGTAAGCAGATTGGGCGAAAGTTGCCGATATCGTGTAGGTCACCGTTCTTGAACAATAACACGGTCCTGCTGGTCTTCCACTAAGTAGGGACCTTGTATTCGGACAGGTAACGTGTGAAGAGCCGAGCCAGTGTGTTTACGAGGACTGGCGAAAGGTTCCTTAGGTGTTCTGGTGCTGTCCCGTCTGGATGTGAAGCTGTTCGATTGTTCACCGACGAAATGGTATATCGGATTTCGGAAGAGAGAACCGGTGGTACAACATATCCATCCTGCTTTATTTCATATGGCAGAACGTGGACGTGGCTATCAAAGAGATCCGAGTAGCAATCGTGAATGAATCTCTCCATTCCTTTCTGGACGCCGTAACTGTTCCGTCTGGGCGCCGGAGTGCAATCATTTTGGTCTTGTAATTGGCGAAGCTTCGGTGGGGTTTGCGAATGCTTTTCCCAGCTTCTGCCGCTTCGGCCATTGCTGCTGCTCGTTTCTCTTTAAGATCTTCTTTTATCGCCTCTCTGCATTGTTTTGCAAGTTCGGACGTTAGTTCGCGGTTGTCTGCAGCTCGTGCGATTCCACGTTGGCGTATCAGCTCGAGTTTTTCTCAAGACAGACATCTCTTGGTGACTTTCGAACCCTGAGCTTTTATCGTGCTAGCGTGAAGATGTTGAATGAGCCGATCGTATTCTTCGTCGATGTTATCGACAACGGCATCTTCCCAACAGCCGACTAATGAATTGGATAAATCCCAGTTTACGGTGGTTCTGGGACTTCCGTTTTTCAATATAGCGGCTTTTTCCCTTTTCGCAAGAAATAGAATCTTGCACGAAGGAGGCGGTGGTCTGATCCCGTGTAGAATTTAGGTACAACAGCGACATCGGTTAGGCAAAGCCTTCTATTTACTATGATGTGGCCTATTTCGTCATGGTACTCTCCAGTGGGAGACTCCTACGTCCAGCGCTGAGGGTGGGGTTTCTGGAATTGCGAGCTACCATGGATGGTCTTGGTCGCCATGGAAAACTCAGATAGCCACTCACCCTGTTCGTTCCATTCTAATCCGTGGGTCCCAATGTGATGTTCTTCAGACGTTCTTCTTGGTCCAGTCTCGGCGTTGAGATCTCCAATAATGACCTTGAGGAATGTGTGGTCTTCTCTGTATAACTTCTCCAAGTCCATATAGAACGCTTCAACTTCTTCGTCATATTCTGATGTCGGCTCGTAAACGACGAAAACTGTCAAAGCGAGAATTGTTCCACGTCTTAATCGTAAACATCCGATTCGGGTTGTTAGTTGTTCGAATGAGTCGATGTTCATGGACAAGCTCGTGTTGATGAGAACGCCGACGCCTCCAACTTTTCTACTGTAGCATATTCCGAGAAACAGTTCTTCTCCGTTGTCATAGACGGCGTTGAAAGGCTGGCTTCTTCTTCTCTCGGCCAGGCCGATGATGTCGTACCTTATCCTTCTTGCTTGCATGAGCAAGTCTTCTATCGAGGACTGGGTGCAAGTGTACGTGTATTGTAGGTAAAGATCGTCACCATAGTTCTTTGAAATCCAGACAGCTTCCATAAGTCCTGAGATTTTAGCATCTTCTGCCTACTCGTCCTAGCCAACGCTGCGAAAGTGGAGGCTCTTTCGGGGTCAGGGGAATGAGGCCCATTTTTTTTCACTGAGTTTAGCATTTTTGACACCCACGTATAGCTTGCTGGGCTCTCAACGTGGGGCTGGGTATACTCACGGGTAGCTTTCCGAGCTCTTCCAGAGTGGAAATATAGCTTATTTGTTGGAGGCGACTCCTAGCCGCCTCCCGTATACTTCCCAGTCACTTGATTTCAGGGTTTTCGCCGAATTGACTCGTAGAATACAATCCATGTGAGCAAGAACGCACCCACACAAGCATGCATGAATACGCCTAGCAAATACAGAAAGTATGTGCCAAATCAGCGCGGCAGAAACAGGGAGTCCATCCTCTAGATTCATCTGCGTCTCAGGGAAGCAATGGTCGCTTTTGGCCCGCGGTTAACCCCCTATCCGCCGCCTGGAGACGCGCCACTTAGTCTCACGCCTGACCGGCATATGAGGGAGATCCGTGGGGCCCTGGGTCACCTCAAACTTATGGTCAGCTTGATAAATGGGAGAGGTTTGTCCGAAGAAGTTTGCATAATATCTTTGGATTTTTCAGTTTTTTTCATTTCTCAACTTGTTAGCTGCAGCACAAAACTTTTCCATTCCAAATACCCTTATCATTTTTTACATTTTTAGAAAAAGCAAGCTTGCTCCTTCCAAATAAGGGAGCGAGAGCTTAAAATTAAACAAAGTTGTGCAATCTACAGAATGATAGGAGAAAACTTCCTATTTTAAAGTTCTTTAAATTCATTCGTTAGCTGTAATTGTTCAAGAAATTAATACGAGAAGAAAGCATCAAGCAAGAGTTATGTTTAAAATTCGATGTGGCCACTAGCATTGGCCACCAGCTCCCCGTGCCCTCCAGGAACCCATTAAACGATTTCGGCCAGAATTTCTGTGGGATGAAAGGAATAACTTCTTGTATCTCTCCTTAAATTTTTTAAAGGCAGTTGTTTTGAGTGAACTTCTTTTTTTAGCCAGTTAGAAAGAAAAAGCCGGAGTTGGGTACTTTCAGCATTCACGGTATCGCGAAAAATCAAAATTCCTTAGGAAGTAACTCCACATCTGGGGAGATTGCGCCTTTTCTTTTACAAATAATACGAAAATCTCTTCAAGCCCAATAGTCGTAGTTGCGACAGCTCACCAAAAGACCGTTTTGGAATAGTGTGCCAAACTCTGTAGACACAGCGGCAAGGTCAGACGTCCGGTCATTTTAGCAAGGCTTCTGTATTTCAAATATAGTAAGAGCTTGAAAAAAACTACGATGTAGATCTTACCCCAATACAAAAGAAAACATAAATAGAAAGTTAAAAAGGATAATTATAATAGATAAACGATTTATAAGTATTCTAAAGTAGAGAGTCCTTTTCAGTCATACAGTGCGAAGGTCCCTTTTTCAATTTGGATTGGATTCTATGGTAGATAGCTGTATGCCTGCGATTTTTTTCAACGCATTGTTTGAACGCTATGTGAGAGAATCTCAGAATAGAGAATTTTAGACCACGACCAGTCCTTCGGCCTTTTCCGTCATCACCGTCATCGCCTCGTAGCACAGCTCGATCACCAGGACGATCGCCTAACCGTCAGTCTTTAACGTTAGTTTTGCTGTATTTTTTATGGATCCTTCTAACTGAAAACTTGGTAAAAGTCACATCAAAGCATCTATATTTTTTTTACCTAGCACCCATAGGGAATATAGAACGCTTTTCATACTGTTATCTTGGCGGTTCTGTTAAGTTATTTCACCAAACAATCTTTCATCAGTTATGATGTCTACGTATTTTCGAGGGATTAATGACTGAAAAAAATATACCCTCTCCAATTCTAGATCAATCGCTAGTGGTTATTTTATTCATACGTTTACTGTCTCTTTCATTAGTTATAACCTGTATCACCTGTAGTCCCGCTGATCGTCGATGACTCGAGCGGGCGCCAATAAATCTTTCAATTTTCCCAGTCGCGTCCAAGAGTGGCCTAAAAGATTCTGTTCGCCTTATGGACTCGTTAAGCATCATATCTTTTTTCTAGGCTTTCCGTGAAGAGCTCTGACCATTGGGTTGGTGTTCTTCCTGCAGTACGTTTGATATTCCGAGGTCCCGAGAAATCCAGTCACTAACGGCTGTTGTCCATCGGTTGTCATTCATAGGCAATACGTGCCCGCTCCACATTATCTTCAACTGTTTGGCGTACAGAACGGCATCCTTGATTTTTGATCGTTGACGCAGGTCGGAGCTTCGGATCCCATCCTTTACTTGTGAGAAACGGGATACTAGCGTCGTCCTTTCGACTGCGTGTTCAATAAAGCTGAGTGATTTTTCATCCTGTTTACGCAGCGACCAGGTTTCTGACGCATACGTTAGGGTAGAAAGTACCGTTGAGTCGAAAAGGTAGGAACGAAGCTGGGTGTTCTTTGTCCTCTTCACTACATCCTCGTTGCTCTCGAATGCTACCCAAGCCGTTCGTTTCCTTCTGTTTAACTCTGGAGAGAACTCGTTCATCACGTTGGTTTTCCTACCTAGATAGACAGAACTGGAGCATTCGAAGAAATTCGTCCCGTTGAACGTGAATGGGCCATACGGAACCAATCCATTCCTCATGCCATTCTGTCCACAGGCGTTATCAAAGTCGTTAGGTGTTATTAAATCGATGTCATCAACAAGGCGAACATGGTGTAATTCCCGGTTATCGATTTCCACTCCAATATTGTACTATTCCAATACTCTCATGATGTTCTCGACGGTAGCGGTAAATAATTTGGCAAGATGGTATCGCCTTGCCTAACCTCTTCATTGACGTCGATGTTGATATCGTCGTAGAATGGAAACATTTTGCTTTCGAAATTCTTATATAGTTCATAAAAAACCTTAGTGAGAATACTGAGAAGGGACCTTGCATTCAAACAGGTAACGTGTGAAGAGCCGAGCAAGTGTGTTTATGAGGACAGGCGAAAGTTCTTCATTTGTTCAGATATTATCCTGTCCGGGCCTGGTGCTACACGATTTTTCGCCAACGAAATGGTATGTCGGATTTCCGAAAGAACCAGTGGTACGACATGTTCATCCTCCTTTACTCCATACCAACGCAGTAGGACTTGTCTATTAAAGAAATCTGAGTAGTGCTTGCGAATGATTTTCTCCATTGCCTTTCTGGACGCCTGTTCCGTCTGGGCGCCGGACCGGAGTGCAATCATCTGGATCTTGTTATTGGTGAATCTTCGGTGGGCCTTGTGAAAGCTTTTCCCAGCCTCAGCGGATTCGACCATTACTGCTGCTCTTCTCTCTTTAAGATCTTTTATCGCCTCCCTGCATTGTTTTGCAAGTTCGGACGTTAGTTCGCGGTTGTCTGCAGCTCGTGCGATTCCACGCTGGCGTATCAGCTCGAGTTTTTCTCAAGACAGACATCTCTTGGTGAATTTCGAACTCTTAGCTTTTATAACGCTGTCGTAAAGATGTTGAATGAGCCGATTGTATTCTTCGTCGATGTTATCGACAACGGAATCTTCTCAACAGCCGACTAATGAATTGAATGAGTCACAGTTTATGGTGGTTTTGGGAGTACGTTTTTTGAATTTAACGAGCTTAGTTCGTTTTCGCGAGAAATCAGATCTTGTAGGATGGAGGCAATGGTGTTAACCCATGAAAAATTTTGGAACAACAACTTCCACGACCGACTTTCTATTAACCTCGGCATTGATCAAGTGATTTTCTTCGTATTTTTGTTGAGCAAACGCGAGGTGTTACTATTCTTTGTTCACGATTAAGCTGACGTTTCGCCGGATTTCGCCTTCTTCAGAGCCGCTTTCTATGAGGTTTCCACTAAGTATGTCACGTAGAGACCAACCGCACAGAAATCACGTGGAAGTATAATGTGGAACAACAGCAGCATCGGTAAGCCAGAGCTTTCGATTGGCTATGATGTGGCCTCTTTCGTTATGGTAATCTCCACTGGGAGACTCACACGTTCAGAGTTGAGGGTGGAGTTTCTGGAATTGCGAGTTACTACGAACGGTCTTGCTTGTCATTATAAATTTTGACAGCCACTCACCCTGCTCGTTCCATTCTATTCCGTGGCTCCCAATGTGAGGTACTTCAGACGTTTTTCTTCGTCCAATATTAGCGTTAAAATCTCCAAAGGGTGACCTTGAAGAATGTATGGTCTTCTCTGTAGGACTTCTCTAAGTCCATATTAGAGCGTTTCGACTTCTTCTTCTCCGTAGTTTGATGATGGCGCATAAACGAAGAATGATGTCACAGCTGTTATTGATCCACATCGCTTTAATCGCAAACGTCCGATTTGAGTTGTTTGTTATTTAAATGATTCAATGTTTATGGAGAAATTTGTTTTGAAGAGAACGCTGACGCCGTCTGCTCCTCTATTGTCGTATGTTCCAATAAACAGTTCTTCACCGGTGTCATAGATGGCGTGGAATATGTGGCGTCGTCTCGTCTCGGCCAGGCCGATGACGTCGTACACTGTGCATAATCAAGTTTTCTATTCAGAGCTAAGGTGCAACTGTGCGCGGATTGTAGGTACAAATCGTTACCTTAGTTTTTTGAGATATAAGCAACTTAGAATGGCTCTGAGATTTTAGTGGCCTCTCCGTACTCGTCCTACCCAACATTGCCGATTTGGGGCTTCTTTCGGAGTCAGAAAAATGAGGCCCGCTTTTTTTTTTACTGCGTTTAGCTTTTTGATACCCACGTATACCTTGCCGAACTCTAAACGTTGGAGCCGGATATACTCACGAGTAGCTTGCCAGTCTCTCCCAGAGTAGATATGGAGCTTATTTCTTGGAGCCGACTTCTAACGGCTTCCTATATACCTCCTTATCATTGGATTTGTCCGAAATGACTCGTAGAGTACAGTCCGCTTAAACTAGAACGCGCCCACATATGCAAGCATGAATAGGCCTTTTAAATACAAGAAGTTTGTGCCAAATCGGCACAGGTCCATCGCCTGGATCCATCTGCGCATTAGGAAGCAAAGGTCGCTTTTGGTCCGCGATTATCCCCAATTCGCACCCTGGGTGCGCCACGTAGTTACACAACTAACGGGCTTGAGATGTTTAGTATGATGGGATAAATCGATGAAATTCTCTTTATAAACTTTATACGGTAAAGACATTTGGCCTTACGTGCTCGTCGACATGCGCAAAACCTTCATTCATTCACTCGTGCTCCAAAGTTACTGTGTCGTTCTCTTCGCTTTATTATTTGAAGAATGCCTTATCCTCCTTTATGTATCACCAAATGGTTCTGGATAATTTTACTTTATTTTATCGTATTTGATGCTTCTTTATGTCTACTGAATGACCACGAAGACATTATAACTTTTACGTGTGGCGTCGGCTTCTGCTTGAGGATTTCCATTTCATCTCGAGTGTCGTAAAATACTGGTCGAGCAATTTTCTCTGGAGTTCTGAGATAGCCAGGCTAGAGCGTTTCCAACTGGATTGCAGAAAGCGCTTTTTTCCCAGGTAAGTCTGGTACAAATTTCCCGACCACTGAGGGATGAGAAGCTTTGTTGGGCCGGAGCGGAATCGAACTGGCACCATGCTCGTGATGACGGACACCACTATCACTGTGCTTTGCGTCCCTCATTCTGGACAGTATGACGACATAAATTTAAATTTTATTTATACCAAACTCCCATGGTTACGTTTTTATTGAAAGCCCATTGAAGGAGCGGTAGACTGATTTTCGAAAAAAAAAGCACCAAAAATTTTGTATCAGTGACAACATTTAGGACAAGGCTACAGTTTACTAGCCCACCTTTCACACATACGCCCTTACAACGGACTCCATTTGGAAGTTCACAGAAAGTTCTGCGATGTCAACAGATTTTGAAAGATCCGGGCATGGCGGCCGAGGAAATGTGGAGAGAGGATCTGATAGTATCCACTGAAGGTCAGTTGAGTATTTTTTTTCCAAGCAAACTTAAATACCCAATTTTTGCCTGGAACGAAAAATATAATCAAAATATCGGTGTTGTGTAATGGTTTCATCATCGGATTCTCTTGGTTTGTCAGCGACACGCGAGATCTGAATCTTTGGCAATTAAGCCGTTTGCGCATAATAATAACAACTGCAAAAAATAAATTCCGGAAATGTAGAAATGCACAGTAGGTTGCATAGCAAGGTAAAAAAGTGGATAGAAACAGGATACCTAAAGAGTTGCGATGGTTATAATGTAATCCTGTGAAATTGATTTATGAGGTATGAAACGTAAATAAAAGCATAATCTGTAAATAGAAGCTCAATAATTGGAAACTGCTTTCTGAAACAAATAGAAGTGGTGTAAGCTGCGTAGGCAATATCCAAGCAAATGGCGTGAAACCGTTCACGCTTGAATGAGGCGGAATTATGGCAATATGGAGCGATCAGGCGTTGCCAAGTTACATGATAGTTATGGATGGATATGGATGGCCAAAAAGGCCAGCACGCGTGTCTAATATCAAGTAGTCTGAAGTATAATATGAACATGATTTAAACGGTGTCATGGGGTACAATATTTAATATAAGAGACATTGAAAGGTGGAAGATAGAAGAAATTTTACAGAAAATGTTCTGCATAAATATGACGTTTATAGCAAGGAGAATTTAATTTCTTCAGAACCTTTGGTAGTTGCTTATCATGTTCTGGCCTACTACACAAACATTTTATTATGCGGCAAGTCCAGACTTAAAAGTTGGGCAATTAAACCTTTATTTACGAGAATATTAGTGCAACAATAAGAAAAATATGACGTCAAGCAGTGTAGGTATAAGAACACATAAACCATAACATTATCAGCAAGCCTACATGATCTGATGACCTGCAATTAATTACACAAGTAATATAAGTTAGCTACAGCGGGTATCACAATCATTAAGCAAAAATTTGGCTGAGTGATATCGCATCAAAGTGTTGGTAGTAATTGTGTGATAAATCTGTCGCGGCCTTTATACAGTGCCCATGGACCGGGTGAAGCTAGTGAGCTACCGAGGTTTCGAGATATCTCCTTGAAAGGAATATCAAGAATGGTCAGAGAAACCCCTATCTCGGTAAGTATCGTTAAATGTAATCGGTAAATATGAGGCCAAATAGAGCTTACGGCAAAATTAATTTCGTAATACTGAAATTTGGAAATAAATGCTATTAAAAAGAATCTACGTGGAATATTTCAAAACTAACTTTCCTTTAACCTCAGTATGACTAGTCAATATGTTTTCTTTCTTTGATAAGCTTACACAGGATTGATATACAATATTCATTCGGCTAACATTTCCACGCCTTCATATTCATCAGAGCCGATGAAACGAGTCCATGGTTGTTAGAAAACATATGATATCATTAATCGTTGAAGAATATTCTTTATGAAGAAACGGATAGTCTCTACGTAGAAAAGAATACTTTCTCCCTAAGCGTCTTAGGGTACCAATTTTTTTTATTCTACGTATCGCTCCTCTTATCAACTGTGCGAATTCCAGTACTGCTTGCATTAGATTCGTTTCCCTGTATTCATCATCCACGAATATCTTCCTTTTTTGCATTTAGAGCCGGTTACTGATATTTGAGGATTTTTGTCTTCATCGTGAACGTCTTTGAATGCTAGTCGAGTGGGTTCTCTCTGAAGTCGTTGCATAGCCGTACTGGGCGGCTCCCAAGTGGTGGATTAGAGGTGGCGACTTGGTCCAAGATAAATCTGATACCATGTTCGCCATTCTAGTCATATTGGGAGCTTAAGTTCGCCGGCGTCCGTGCGGAGTCAAAACAGAACCGTACTCCTAACGAACGACATCGCTACCACTACAGTGTGAATCGCACCCAGTATATATCGAACCTAGTTCTTTACGTAGTCCTTTTTAGACAATTCAAATCGGACTACAGTGAATTTGGACTCAGTGATTCGGTCGAACCTGGCGAACGCTTGCGTGCCAAGAATGGACGAAACGTCATGTGAAAAGAACATCTGCTATAACGTCTATTTCAGGTAAGAACGTAGGCTCATGTTAAATATTTGGAGAAAATAAAAATATAAAACAAAAAAATCGAAAGTTTCGGTCCTTGTTTTTCCCAATTATCAGTTATCTCAGTAAAAAAATAAGATGACAGTAAATGAGAGTTTACCGACGTGAATGACGTGCAGATTCTGCTGCCCTATCCCAATCATTCTAGACCTGGACTTTATTATTATGAAAGCTTTTTCATTTCGGCAGGTTTGCAAAAAGTGGCTGTGCTCTGTTCGCACTCAGAACTCGGTTAATTTTAATATTTCAAAAGTAGTATAGAGCAACAGAGATCTGTTAGATGACATGAACGTATGAAACAATTGTAACTCTCTGTGATTTAAAGAACCATGGACGGATCATGCAATAATCTGCGAAATCCACTGAGAGGTGCAGCTTATCGACCATACACTCGGTTGCTGCCAACCGTATACGACAACGGACTCTCTGAACCAGTAGGTAGGATTTCGTTTTAGATGTTCACGAGAGCGGGGTGCGCTTCACAGGCTGCGAGGTAGTAGATTTCAAAAGGAAATAAGAAGTTGTAGACCATAAGGTCAACGAATGTGCACGATTATATTAGATTATAAGGAAATTGGTGGCGGTTTCAACCTATATTCTAAAGCAGCGTATCTCAATCCAGAGTAAACATTACTGTTAGACGAAATACAACCACAAGATTGCTGAAACACTTGCAAAACTCCGGACCGCAGGTGCCTGCGGTGGAGAACGAACGCGTTATTGCCCTTTCCGAGTAACGCGTTCACCACCACACCATGCGGGTCTTTCGTTTCGCCTGTCTCTCAGCTAGTTCTATCGATCTGTGTAAGAGACAGGCGTAACGAAAGACCCGCGTGGTGTGGTTGTGAACGCGTTACTCCCCGGAAAGGACAATAGCGCGCTCGTTCCCCACCGCGAACACCTGCGGTCCGGAGTTTTGCAAGTGTCTCAGCAATCTTGTCGTTGTATTTCGCTTAATACCTTGCCATAAAAATAATGGAAGGCAGAAAATAGAAAAGTAAAGATTACTGTTAGAATTAAAAATTATGAGGTCTGCATGTTTTAATATGAGAAACAGATTTATTTATCTCAGTTGGAAGGAATTTTGGTTTTCTGCAGACGATAAAGGAGCTTAAGACAGTTGAGACATCGATATGGTTTTGTAACCTTTCTCACGCACGGATTTGTTAAAATGGCTTGAAGAAACTCAGTGGATAAGCAGCAAGTCATTCGAAAGGCAGTTTCGTAGCCCGTGTCGTTTTACGGCATAGGTGGTGAGGCAGTAGCCACGAGTCGGTAGTGCGACGTGTTGGCAATTCGTACGGAATCTATTTGCCAAGCTTTTCAACCTTTAAATCTTTAGATGATCTGACACGGTTGAGTTGTATACACCAAAATTTTCTGCAACTTTTTGAGCAGTTGTGCTTCTATTTGTTCCCACCGAAGCCTTCACTTTGTCATCGTCACCGTTCATAACATCACCCGTCTTCAAGGCTGAATTCGTTGCGACAATTTTTTTGTAACCAACGTTTCTACTCCCATTCATCAACACTTCATTTGCACCATATGCCATTAATATTTCGAGCTGTTTGCGGGTGGCTGCGATCGAGTGTGGATTTCCAAGAGGGAATCTGTCGAATTTGCTGTTTTGATAGCTCAATTTCTCACATTTAAAATTTGTCAAAAGCACCATTTCCATTGTAATCTAGTTGCGCGGAACGAAGGTGCATAAAACGTTTTAAAGTTTGCATAATAGCACGGCATCCCTTTTATTTATTTGGATAATTCCGGTATTTAATGGCCACGTGTGGCGCAGTGGTCGGAGGTGTTCCGCAACACACACATAGATCGATCTCCGCGTCCAGGGGTCATCAAGCCTTCCATCCCTCCAGAGTGGGCAAATTGTTACCAGACTTATCTGGGAGGTTAGCAGCACTCGCTCATTACATCAGCAGACCACCGCGAGTCATTGTAAAGTCCAGATATGCAGTCAATCACCTTTAAACGATGCTTAATGAAATCGAATGCATGGCGCAGCTCCCTTTGGAAAACCGTCACCTGTATTACCTGTAGTCCCGTTGATCGTCGAGTGACTCCAGCAGGCGCCAGTAAATCTTACATTTCTTCCTGTAGCGTGCAAGAGTATCCCAGTGGGTTCTGCTCGCTCTAGGGACTCGTCGAGCATCGTTTCTTTCTTCTAGGCTTTTCGTGAAGAACTCTGACCATCGGGTCGGTGGTCTTCCTGCAGTACGTTTAACATCCAAAGGAATACAGTCACTAATGGCTCTTGTCCATTGGTTGCCAATCATACGCATTACGTGTCCAGCCCACCTTTTCTTCGGCTGTTTGGCGTACAGAGCGGGATCTTTGATTTTTAATAGGGACGCTGATCGAGGTTTCGGTTCTCATCCCTTACTTGCGTGGAACGGAATACTCCTTGCATCCCCCTTTCGACTGCGCGTTTGATAAAACTGAGTGGTTTTTCATTTTGCATACACAGCGACCAATTTTCTGGCACATACGTTAGAGCAGGAAGTACCGTTGGGTCAAAAAAGTGAGCACGGAATCGGGTGTTCTTTGTTCTTTCTACTACAGCCTCGATGCTCTTGAAAGCTCCCCAAGCCACCCCTTTGCTTCTGCTCAGCTCTGGAGCTAAGTCGTTCATGATATTGATTTCCCGACCTACATAGATATAACTGGAGCATTCGGAGATATCCGTTCCGTTGAGCCTGAATGGGGCATGCGAAACCAATCCGTTCTTCATGAACATCGTTTTTGTGAGATTTAGCAGAAAACCAATCTTTCCACAGGCTTTATCAAAGTCGGCAAGCATAGGTTCCGCCTGGCTAATGTTTGGTGTTATAAAGACGATGTCATCAGCAAAACGAAGATGGTGTAATTGCCGACCATCGATTTTCACTCCCATATTATCCCATTCCAATTCGCATGACGTTCTGGAGTGTGGCGGTAAATAATTTTGGCGAGATGGTATCGCCGTGCCTAACCCCTCTTTTGACGTCGATGTCAATATCGTTGTAAAATGGTGATATCTTGACTGTGAAATTTTTGTACAGCTCACGAAGAATCTTTATGTACCCAGTAGGGACTCCTTGACTAGCAAGGGCTTCCATGACTGCTTCTATCTCAATTGAATCAAGTAAGTGCCTTTTGGAAATCGATGAAGGTGAGACAGAGGTGTCTTTTGTACTCTCGCGATACTTCTTTGGAAACCATACAAGAAAAAATAAGGTTACAAACCCGACTTTAATTTCCGAATACATAAGGGTTTTCTATAAATAGGGTTCGAGCTCTGTCCTTCGAATAAAATTTCTTCCACGTGGACATCTCTTTACTCGTAACCACCCAAACGCTGTAGAGCATCCGTTAATTCTAAATAATGATTGACGTTATTAGAATGCTGGCATCAGCGAGAGGAAGACGGCGTAGTTATTGGGCGTCAACCTTCAGCATCATATTGTAAACGATTTGATTTGTCACAGCGTTTTTAACAATAACGGCAAGTCATTCTGGCAAATTGACATTATATTTTAGAACCCTTCCTGCGATGCAATAACGTGTTCTTTCTTGTCTCCCACAGAATAGGAGCCTTGCATTGTGACAGATGCCACGTGAATAGCTGAGCTAGCTTGTTAGCTTGTTTAGAAGACTGGTAATAGGCCCTTCAGACAAACCCTGTCTACTCAAATGCTTTTCGGCAAGTTTCAGAAGGCAGATCTGTTAAAATGAAATGTTCTTCTAGGCGTAATGTATAGGGATGGGGGCATTGACGTGGTTATCGATTTGCGGAAGACATATGAAAATAGAGCGTCGCACTGCTGGTACGTTCCTCTAAAGTAACTGGTTCGAATTACGTACCGCCATCCTATGACAAATCGGCTCGACGATATTTCCAAGGAATGCTGCGATAACCAAATGGCTGATTTTCTTCTTTTCTCTCATCCTATGTGGAAACAAACATGTGCAGTGAATCGACTTTTCACTCTATTTTGTGCAGTTCGATTTCAATACTTCTATTATCGCCAACAAACTTCAGCAAAACCATATTATTGTAGAGTCGTCAAGAAGACTTGGTATCTCTATTTCCACTTGTAAACTTCTGAAATTGTTTTTGAATAGTTTTATAACACCCAAGTATTTGCGAGGCAATGTGGCTCATCTCCAGGTGGAATAGAGATGGATGAACGCGAACCAAAGACGATGGCATCTTGTTTCTTCCATGTCATGCTGACATTCAGCTTTTGTAGGTACTTCAACAAATCCGATGTTTCCACCAATGCCTCACGAAATGAAAAAGTGCAGATAAGGTCTATAGAACGAGCGTACAGAAATGCAAATTACGGCTTGCGCACTCTTGCAGAAGTGGAGCAAGTCCATTGACTTCGTCGTTAGAAAGTTGCATTGACTCTGCCTTCGGATTTGCTGAAGAAATTTTGAACGGAGGCTTTTTGGTTGAACATTCTTTCGGTAATTTTGATTGAATCAATTCTCTCTCAGTAACAGCAACCGCCTTGTATAAAAGAGCATCGTAGGGTTAGTAAGGCTCATTCGAAATGCTGAACTCAACTACTGAGAAGATCCGGTTCGATGCTTGACGAAGACGCCACCTCGACAACACAAGCAATTGTGGACCATTGACTCTGATGAAGAAGAAACCGTCGAAACGTTAGCTCAGCAAATATCTTTGTCATACTCGTGTAAGCCCAACATTATAAACACATGTTGATTCTCTCAGCAAGTTGCCGTGATTCTTTAGCAAGTGGCAACCAATTGGTCACTATGGTGGATTAGGATGAATTTCGTATAGCAGTTATTCAAGCGCTGTAGCGTTTGTTGTGGATTTGAAATCGGGTGTTGTCTCACTGTCATTTAACAGGATTCATCCATCCTCATCAATCATCTCTATTCGTGCAAATTGTAGTTTATTGTTCATCTAATCAGCTTCCACACACTTTGCTGCTGGTTTCACTATGATTGAGAAATCTGTAGTAGAAGATTCCATTTCGCAACCACCGAAGAGTTGCAATAAACTTCTCGCTATGGTGTGCTTTTCACCTACATTGCGCACAACGTCGTCGTTTCCCCTCATAATCCATTTTGGTCGAATTTCACATTGTCATTAAAAATTGGCCGTCTTTTGCTATGGAAAAAAACACTGAACGTACTTTATGAAGACAACTACTTTGCTATTCGTTCAATACATTATGAAAAGATTTGTCGAATTATTTTGGTGGGACACAGATTTGATCCACACTTTTCACTTGCACCTAGGCTCAATCAAACTGTTTCCTGTGTGTTTGATTATTTCATTTGAAATGGTCGTCGTCGATTGGAGCAGATTGTGCAGGTCTTCTTCATCCTCTTACTTGCTTCTGCAATGTTGCATCTTCTCGTTAGCAATTTTCTGTCCGTCTTCTGCTAATATTGCGAGTCGTTTTTGGTACTTCACCTCTGAGCTTAAATTCATAGTAGATATAGTCGGAATTTGTTGCTCGAACTTCTATTCAAGGTGGCGTAGATTAAATAGGCTTCAAAATAAAAACAAAAATATTGGCAGGATAATGTAGGGTCAAACCTATGCTTCATAATGGCTTATGATGTAACCATAATGGCTTACAACATTATTTAAAATGATGCATCAACGTTTGGTGGGACAATAATTGACATCTTTTTCATATAATCTACTAACTCTCTCGACGATGCCTCATTTTCTTCCTTTATCCTTTACGGAGCTGTTGGTCCTTTGAAAATAAATAATACCCCGAGTTTCCTGATAACCAGAGGAATACGTGGGTTGCTAACATGAAGGAATTGTAGGAAAGAATTTTCGCTATCGCTCCATGTGTATGAATGACATTTATGGTTCTGTTTATTATATGTTACTACGGTCCATCATATAAACACATTAAAGCCAGAATTTGTGAATGTTTTGCAACTTATGGGTAGCCATTCCAGTGTTTTTGTACTCGCACACTTTGTAGGATAACTATGTGAATGTGAGAGGTGCTGGGATCGCACAGTAAACGTGAACGTTGTATAGAAAGATAAGATAAAAAATATTTATAGTACATGTTTATTATTGGAGTGCCCAAATTTCTTGTGTACTTCTAAATGCAGAATTGAAGTTTCCCGAACAACACCCAACACAATATCTGTGTCCGACAAGCTACCAGCTGATGCTAAAAAGTAGAGGAAAACAGCTTTATCTGTAAAAATCAACAACTGAAGAGAAAATGAGACCTACAGGTTTTATAGCGACCTTTCTCCAAAGCCATTACAACACCCATAGGTTTCACTCATCGCCAGGGTGTTAAAAAGTTCGGTGTCCATCCTAGCCCTTCACCTGCTCCTTTTGTCAGTACTATTAAGCGTCCTATTTTATGCGTCTGTTCAAGTATATCGTACAGCTGAACTCCGTCTCAGGTTCGTTGTTCCCCGAACTACGGCCGTCGCCTCGAGTGATCACTCGCCAGCTCACCTCGTCTCATGCGTCCGTCGTTTCCGACGAGTACAACGCGTTGGTGATGCAGTTCGGACAGTTCATCTCTCACGACATCGCTAAGGTAAGCTCACATCAACTGCTCCCGGATGCATTTTCTAGAAGCAAAAGCTTAAATGATCCACCATACCACAGTAGTAAACACCTGTTACCAACAGTCACCGTTCAGTTCAGCAAAACACGATGGTGTTCACGATTAGCAATGTTTTTGCGTGTATGTGAAGTTACCAACCCTTTCAGATATTTCGTTTTACAGGAGGGCATTGTAGTAGCTTGCCAATGCTAATCGTCAATATCGATTCGAAGGCATAGATTTATGAAAAAGTTTGGGATAATATTGTTAATAGAACCCTAACGACATTGAGATATTTGCAAAACTCCAGACCGCAGGTGGAGAACGAATATGCTGTTACCCTTTCCAGGGTCTAACACGTTCACCACCACCCCATGCATGTCCTTGGTGTCGTCTGTCACTCAGCATTTCTATCGATCAGTGCCATCAGCAATCAACCGTCAACGGGATTAGTTAGCTGAGAGACAGGTGAAACGAAGGGCACGCATGGAGTGGTGCTGAACGCGTTAGACTCCAGAAACGGTGATAGCGCGTTTGTTCCCCACCTCAGACTCTTTCAGTGCACAGTTTTGCAAATATCTCAGCATCGTTGTGATTGTATTTCGCACAATACCCTGCTGTGAAAGTCGTAGTCTGCAAAAAATAAAAAATAAACATTGTTAAGAGGATCTCTTCATTATGGGTCGATTATCGATGATTGGCACTTTTAATAGTATACTTATTAGAACAGTTTTCTCAAAAACAAACCTTATCGTGTTCACCGTGTGAAAACAAACGTTTTCAAATAGAAATCTCATTTCCGGTCTAGATAGTTACTGATTTTTAAAGCACGTTTTGTAGTATATAAAAACCATGCTGAAACCACGCCCACATTCTGTAGTTCACTGTTTTTAATACTCCAGTTAACCTTTTATTGGAAAACGCCCAACTGTAGTGCTTGTAGTATTTTAGTCATATTGTAATCAAAATTAGTTTTGGATAAACTGCCCAAATTCGATTTTCGTTGCAGCGTTGTAGACTTCATTTTTCAAACTTTTTTTCCTTGGTGTTTTCCAACTGAAGTTATTTTTTATGTGGTTTTTCAAATGCAATAATGTGAAACCTTATCATACATAGAAAATTTCTTCTTATATCGTGATTATTCTCCCGAATCTCCCTCATAGAGGGATTTCCTGCTGATTAGGCTCGAGACAACGTGGTGAGCCCTCAGGTGCAGATAGGGGGTTACCCACGGACGAGATGGGACCTTTGCTTCCCTGAGACGCAGGTGGATCCAGGGGTTGGACTCCCTGTCTATTTAGTGCCGATTTGACACATACCTTTTGTGAATACGAGAGCATATTTATACATGCGTGCGTGGATGTGTTCTAGTTTTGTGGATTATAGTTTACGAGTCTATTTCATTCAATCTAGAAACAGAGAACTATATAGGAGGAAGTTAGGAGTCGCCTCCAACAAATAACCTCTCCGTCTATTCTGGAAAGACTGGCAAGCTACTCATGAGTTTACCTAGCCCCACGTTCAGAGCTGAGCAAGCTATACGTGGGTAGCAAGCGTTAAGCAGGATGAAATAAATAGTCCTCATTCATCCAACCCGGAAGGAACCTCCTGTATGGCAGCATTGAGTAAGAGGAGTACGAAGAGGCTGCTAGAATCTCAGGGTCATTCTAAGCCTTCTAAATGGCAAGCTACTAATGCCTAAAATGCACGCACAGTTGCATATGAGTCCTGAATAGAAGACTTGATCATAGAAAACGTACATGTTCAGACTGGATAAGACCAGAACACACTACTCATTCAACGCAGCCTCTGACACAGGAGATGAACTGTTTCTCGGTAAACTGGGCAGTAGAACAGTCGGCGGCGTCTGCGTTTTTGTCAACACAAGTTTAGCCGTGATCATCGAACCATTCGAGCAACCCGAATTAGATCCCTACTATTGATGAGATGAGGTTCAATTCCGACTTCCACAGTTTTTGTCCTTTACGCACAGACATCAAACTAAGACGAAGAAGAAGACGAGGCGTTGTATTAGGACTTCGAGCAGCTCTACAGCGAAGACCATACATTCTTCAAGGTCATCATTGGAGATTTCAACGCAAGAACGCCACAATGGGGCCCACGGATTAGAATGGAACGAACACAGTGAGCGGCTGTCTGAGTTCATCATGACGACCAAGACCATCCATGGTAACTCGCAATTCCAGAAGCCGCACCCTCAATGCTGGACGTGGTAGTCTCCCAGTGGAGAGTGCCAGAAGGAAATAGACCGCATCATAGTAAATAGATGGTTTTTGTCTAAACGATGTTGCGGTTGTCCCAAAATTCCGCAAGGGATCAGAAAACTGCGCCCTTCTTGCAATACTTCACTTCACGCGAAAAGGAAGAAAATCCGCTAAATTTAAGAAAAAAATTCCAAAACCACCATGAACTGGGATTTATTCAGCAGTCTGCTTTTGGGAATATGCCGTACCTGATATCATCGATGAGCTGTGCGATCAGTTCATTCAAAATCTTCACGTTAACGCTGCGAAAGCTGACAGTTCGAATGTCACCAAAAGACGTCTGTTCCCAAAAACACTCGAGTTCACACGCCAGGGTAGAATAGCAAAGCAACCACGAACTAACGTCTGAACTTGCAAAACAATGTAGTCAGGCGATAAAAGAAGAGCTTAAAGAGAGAAGAGCAGCAGTTATGGTCGAAGCTGTATAGGCTGCAAAAAGTATTTGCAAAGCTCACTGAAGTTTCACCAATTACAAGACCAAGATGATTGCACTCCAACGCCAAGACGGAACAGTAGCAGCGCCCAGAAAGGCAATGAAAAAAATCATATACGAATACTACTCAGATCTCTTCAATAGCCACGTCCACCTCCCGTCATATGAAATAAAGGAGAATGGATATGTTGTACCACCGGTTCTCCCTTCCGAAATCCGACATGCCATTTCGTCGGTGAAAATTCGAACAACACCAGGTCCGGACGGGATAAGATCAGAACACCTGAAGAGCCTTCAGCCAGTCCTCGTAAGCACACTGGTTCGGCTCTTCACACGTTACCTGTCTGAATGCAAGGCCCCTACTTAGTGGAAGACCAGCAAGACCGTGTTATTGTTCAAGAAAGGCGACCTACACTATAACGGCAGCTATCGCCCAATCTGGTTGCAATCTGTCGTTTACGAACTTTTCACTCGAGTCATCCTAACTAGGATTGGCAGAACACTAGACGAAGGACAGCCATGTGAGCAACAGGGTTTCGAAAACGATTTAGTACGATGGACCGCATCCACACGATAGCAAGAATCATTGAACTACCGCATTAGTACAAAAGACCGCTCTGTCTCACTCTCATCGATTTAAAGATGGCCTTTAACTCAAATGAGATGAAAGCGATCATGGAAGCCCTTAATAGTCAAGGAGGCCCTGCTGTGTACATAAAGGTTCTTCGTGAGCTGTACAAAATTTTCACAATGAAGATATCACCGTTCTACAGCGGTGTTAACATCAATTTCAAAAGACGGGTTAGGCAAGCTGGTACGAACTCGCAAAAATTATTTACCGCCATCCTCGAGAACATAATGCGAACACTGGAATGGGATAATATGGGATTGAAAATCGGTGAACGGCAATTACACCATTTTCACTTTGCTGATCACGTCGTTCTGATAACTTCAAACATTAGCCAAGCAGAACGAATTCTTGTTGACTTTTAAACAGCCTAAGGAAAGATCCGTCTTCGCCTGGATTTCGCAAAAACGATGCTCATGAGGAACGGGCTAGTTACGTATGCCCCATTCGAGATCAACGGATTCTCCAGTTATATCTATCTGTATCGTCTACATCCCCTGTAATCCTACCATTCGTTGACCGTCGAATGACTCGAACGGGCGCCAGTGAACCTTCCGTTTTTCCTTGTGGCGTGTCGCTCGAGGGATTCTTTGAGCATCGTATCTTTCTTCTAGGCTTCTCGTGAAGAACTCTGACCATCGCGTCAGTGGTTTTGCTGTAGTGCGTATAATATCCCAAGGAATCCAGTAACTGACGGCTCTTGTCCATCGACTGTCGTTCACACGCATTAGGTGCCTGGCCTATCTTATCTTCGACTGTTTGGTGTACAGAACGGCCTCTTTGGTTCTCGATTATTCACGCAGGCCGGAGCTTAGGATCCCTTCCCTAACTTGTGTGACACGGGATTTTCCTGGCATCACCCTTTCGACTGCGCGTCCAATTACGCTAAGTGATCTTTCATCCTGCTTACGTAGGGACCAAAGGACCCGCATGGTGTGGTGGTGAACGTGTTACTCCCCGGAAACGACAATAGCGCGTTCGTTCCCCACCATAGACACCTGTGGTCCAGAGTTTTGTAAATATCTCAGCAACGTTATGATGTATTCTATTTCGTTATCGTAGTCTCCACTGGGAGACTCTCTGATCCATTGCTGTGAGTGGGCTTTTTGGAATTGTGAGCTACCATGATTGCTCTCTTTTGATAAACTGAGACAGCAGCTCATATGGTTCGTTTCATTCTAATCTGTGGTTTGCAATGTGGCGTTCTTCAGTCGTTCTTCTTGGTCCAATCCGCGTTAAAATCTTCAATGATGACCTTGAGGAATGTGTGGTCTTCTCGGTAGAACTTCTCCAAGTCCATATAGAGTGTGTTTACGAGGACTGGCGAAAGGTTCCTTAGGTGTTCTGGTGCTGTCCCGTCCAGATGTGAAGCTGTTCGATTTTTCACCGACGAAATGGTATGTTGGATTTCGGAAGAGAGAACCGGTGGTACAACATATCCATCCTGCTTTATTTCATATGGCAGAACGTGGACGTGGCTATCAAAGAGATCCGAGTAGCAATCGTGAATGAATCTCTCCATTCCTTTCTGGACGCCGTAACTGTTCCGTCTGGGCGCCGGAGTGCAATCATTTTGGTCTTGTAATTGGCGAAGCTTCGGTGGGGTTTGCGAATGCTTTTCCCAGCTTCTGCCGCTTCGGCCATTGCTGCTGCTCGTTTCTCTTTAAGATCTTCTTTTATCGCCTCTCTGCATTGTTTTGCAAGTTCGGACGTTAGTTCGCGGTTGTCTGCAGCTCGTGCGATTCCACGTTGGCGTATCAGCTCGAGTTTTTCTCAAGACAGACATCTCTTGGTGACTTTCGAACCCTGAGCTTTCATCGTGCTAGCGTGAAGATGTTGAATGAGCCGATCGTATTCTTCGTCGATGTTATCGACAACGGCATCTTCCCAACAGCCGACTAATGAATTGGATAAATCCCAGTTTACGGTGGTTCTGGGACTTCCGTTTTTCAATATAGCGGCTTTTTCCCTTTTCGCAAGAAATAGAATCTTGCACGAAGGAGGCGGTGGTCTGATCCCGTGTAGAATTTAGGTACAACAGCGACATCGGTTAGGCAAAGCCTTCTATTTGCTATGATGTGGCCTATTTCGTCATGGTACTCTCCAGTGGGAGACTCCTACGTCCAGCGCTGAGGGTGGGGTTTCTGGAATTGCGAGCTNAAGTTCGGACGTTAGTTCGCGGTTGTCTGCAGCTCGTGCGATTCCACGTTGGCGTATCAGCTCGAGTTTTTCTCAAGACAGACATCTCTTGGTGACTTTCGAACCCTGAGCTTTTATCGTGCTAGCGTGAAGATGTTGAATGAGCCGATCGTATTCTTCGTCGATGTTATCGACAACGGCATCTTCCCAACAGCCGACTAATGAATTGGATAAATCCCAGTTTACGGTGGTTCTGGGACTTCCGTTTTTCAATATAGCGGCTTTTTCCCTTTTCGCAAGAAATAGAATCTTGCACGAAGGAGGCGGTGGTCTGATCCCGTGTAGAATTTAGGTACAACAGCGACATCGGTTAGGCAAAGCCTTCTATTTGCTATGATGTGGCCTATTTCGTCATGGTACTCTCCAGTGGGAGACTCCTACGTCCAGCGCTGAGGGTGGGGTTTCTGGAATTGCGAGCTGCCATGGATGGTCTTGGTCGCCATGGAAAACTCAGATAGCCACTCACCCTGTTCGTTCCATTCTAATCCGTGGGTCCCAATGTGATGTTCTTCAGACGTTCTTCTTGGTCCAGTCTCGGCGTTGAGATCTCCAATAATGACCTTGAGGAATGTGTGGTCTTCTCTGTATAACTTCTCCAAGTCCATATAGAACGCTTCAACTTCTTCGTCATATTCTGATGTCGGCTCGTAAACGACGAAAACTGTCAAAGCGAGAATTGTTCCACGTCTTAATCGTAAACATCCGATTCGGGTTGTTAGTTGTTCGAATGAGTCTATGTTCATGGACAAGCTCGTGTTGATGAGAACGCCGACGCCTCCAACTTTTCTACTGTAGCATATTCCGAGAAACAGTTCTTCTCCGTTGTCATGGACGGCGTTGAAAGGCTGGCTTCTTCTCCTCTCGGCTAGGCCGATGATGTCGTACCTTTTCCTTCTTGCTTGCATGAGCAAGTCTTCTATCGAGGACTGGGTGCAAGTGTACGTGTATTGTAGGTAAAGATCGTCACCATAGTTCTTTGAAATCCAGACAGCTTCCATAAGTTCTGAGATTTTAGCATCTTCTGCCTACTCGTCCTAGCCAACGCTGCGAAAGTGGAGGCTCTTTCGGGGTCAGGGGAATGAGGCCCATTTTTTCACTGAGTTTAGCATTTTTGACACCCACGTATAGCTTGCTGGGCTCTCAACGTGGGGCTGCGTATACTCACGGGTAGCTTTCCAAGCTCTTCCAGAGTGGACATATAGCTTATTTGTTGGAGGCGATTCCTAGCCGCCTCCCGTATACTTCCCAGTCACTTGATTGCAGGTTTTTCGCCGAATTGACTCGTAGAATACAATCCATGTGAGCAAGAACGCACCCACACAAGCATGCATGAATACGCCTAGCAAATACAGAAAGTATGTGCCAAATCAGCGCGGCAGAAACAGGGAGTCCATCCTCTAGATCCATCTGCGTCTCAGGGAAGCAATGGTCGCTTTTGGCCCGCGGTTAACCCCCTATCCGCCGCCTGGAGACGCGCCACTTAGTCTCACGCCTGACCGGCATATGAGGGAGATCCGTGGGACCCTGGGTCACCTCAAACTTATGGTCAGCTTGATAAATGGGAGAGGTTTGTCCGAAGAAGTTTGCATAATATCTTTGGATTTTTCAGTTTTTTTCATTTCTCAACTTGTTAGCTGCAGCACAAAACTTTTCCATTCCAAATACCCTTATCATTCTTTGCATTTTTAGAAAAAGCAAGCTTGCTCCTTCCAAAGAAGGGAGCGAGAGCTTAAAATTAAACAAAGTTGTGCAATCTACAGAATGATAGGAAAAAACTTCCTATTTTAAAGTTCTTGAAATTCATTCGTTAGCTGTAATTGTTCAAGAAATTAATACGAGAAGAACGCTTCGACCTCTTGTTCGTTATAGTTTGATGTCGGCGCGTAAACGATGAAGATTGCCAAATCCAGTACTGGCCTGCTTCTTTTTAATCGTAAACGTCCGATTCGGGTTGTAAGCTGTTCTAATGAATCGATGTTCATGAACAAACTCGTGTTGACTAGAACGCCAACGCCGCCGATTCCTCTACTGTCGCATGTTCGGAGAAACAGTTCTTCTCCGGTGTCATGGACGGTGTTAAATGGGTGGCGTCGTCTCGTCTCGGCCAGGTCGATGACATCGTACCTTATTCTTCTCGCTTACATGATCAAATCTTCTATCGAGAGCCCAGATTCAAGTGTGCTCGCATTGTAGGTACAAATCGTCGCCTTAGTTCTTTGCGATTTACGTAGCTTAGAATAGCCGTGAGGTTTTAACAACATCCCCGTACTCATCCTATTCAATTCTGCCGAACCGGCGCTCTTTCTGGGTCAGAGGAATGATATAGATTAGCTTTTTTGATATTTATCTATCTAGGTTGGGAAGCAAACATATTCAAAACCAGGACAGTGTAGTAGATAGGCAAAGGAAACCCCATTTCGTGCTCAACTTTTCGACTCCATGGTTCTTCCAACCTTGACGTGTGCGTTGAAAACCTGGTCGTGCTAAGTAGGATGAAAGGTCACTCAGCGTTATTGAAGGTGCAGTCCAAAGAACGATGCTAGGAGTATCGCGTTTCACACAAATAAAGGATGGGAAAAATCCGAAGCTCCGACCTGCGTCAACGATCAAAAATCAAAGATGCCGTTTTGTACGCCAAACAGTCGAAGATAAGATAGGCCGGACACGTAATGCGTATGAATGACAACCAATGGACAAGAGCCATTAGTGACTGTATTCCTTGGGATGTTAAACGTACTGCAGGAAGACCACCGACCCAATGGTCAGAGTTCTTCACGAAAAGCCTAGAAGAAAGAAATGATGCTCGACGAGTCCCTAGAGCGAGCACAACAGACTGGGATACTCTTGCACGCTACAGAGAGAAATTTAAGATTTACTGGCGCCTGCTGGAGTCACTCGACGATCAACGGGACCGCAGGTAATACAGATGACGGTTTCCCAAAGGGAGTATGTGGCGCAGTGGTTGGAGGCGCCACCGCGACACACACGTGTGCTCGATTCCCACGCCCATGGCCCACCAAGCTTTCCATTCCTCCGGAGTCAGCAATCTGGTGCCAGACGTTGATCAATCGCTGAGATATGCGCCATGCATTCGATTTCATTAAGCATCGTTTGGATTTGATTGAATGCATATCTGGGCTTTACAATGACTCGCGGTATTCTACCGATGTAACGAACCAGTGCTGCTATCATCCCAGATAAATCGGATACCAACTTCCCGACCCGGAAGACTTGGTGACCTCTGGGTGCGGGAGTCGATCCTATGTGTGTGTTGCAGAACGATGTATCCCATAACACAGAAGTAAGAGAAGATATCTGACACTCTGACCTGCGTCAACTTTCAAAAATCCAAAATTTTCGCCGTTCCATTCGCCAAACCGTCAAAGATAAGGTGGACCGCACACGCAGTGCGTATGAACGACAACCGATGGACGATAGCCAATAGTGACTAGACTCCTTAGGATGTTAAACTTGCTGCAGAAAGAGCACCGAACTTTTGGTCGTAATTCTTCAAGTACACCTTAGAGGAAATGTATGATGCTAAACGAGCTCCTAGAGCGTGCAGGATCCACTGGTCAACTCTTGCACGCGACAGAGGAGAATGGAAGTTTTGCTGGCGTCTGCTGAAGTTACTGGACTTTATCAACAAGCTAAAGATTTAACACGGGTTCGCTGTTTTCACCGTCTTATCCGAGCAAGTTCGTCATCCACTGTAATACGGGTGTAGACAGCTTCGAAGAGATAATGTCGCTTTGTCGAACCTCTTTTCCTATGGGGGATAAGATGCCCCTGGGAAAGCTGCCTTTCTGTGCTGTGTTTACGATAATTTTTCTTTGTCCATTTTACTTAACCCGTCTTAACGTCTACTGTGCGGATTCCAGCACTTCTTACATTCGATTCGTTTCCTCGGATCCATTACTCACGAAAATTTTCCAGCTTTTACGTATGGCTTCAGTTACTGCTTGAGGATTTCCACTTTATAATGAATGTAGTAGAATTCTGGTCGAGCAGTTCTCTCTGGAGCCCTGCGATAGCCGGGCTGGAGCGCTCCCAAGTGGATTGGAGAGAGTGATTTTTTTTCCAGACAAGCCCAGTACCAATTTTCTGACCCCGGAGGAATGAGAGGCTTGGTTGGCCTGGAACGGAATGGAACTAGCACCGTGCTCATGATGGCGGAATCACTACCACTGTGCTATCCCTCCTTGTTTACGTTAACGGTCGGCAAGAATACTTTTTAGGACTGGTTCACTTCTGTACCGAAAAACACCGATAGGAGTGTGCTCGTTTCGACACTGTCTAAGGCTTTTTCGTACTCGAGACATGTGCAGGTGGTACGCCAGATAGGTTTTTATGACTGTTGTTACACTTTACATGTGCACCTTGCAGCAGAATCCCATCGAGCACCTCTTTGTCAGGCTAGTCAGTTTGTTGTGCTTCATCTCTAAACCATGATATGTGCGACAAGGTAGTTTCTGTGAGCAGCTTGTACGCATGCAGTAGAAAAAACGAAATCCTCAACATTATCGATGATTTCTTTGACTAACTTTCTTGAAATGGATGCCATAGCACGACCCCCGCACTAGTTGCTGTTTTCCATTTGAAGATAAGATGTCGAGAATTCCACGTAGTTGGTTGCTCCTGGTTCAAATGTAGTGGTTTGTAATATTCTTGCGCTTTGGAGCTCATGCTCTCTATTACTATTCGAACTTTAAAGTGAAGAATTCTGTGCAGGTTTTCTCTCTGTCGAAGTTTTCTTGATCCAAGACAACGATTGGGTAAGGTGAAAAATTGGCGTAGAGCTTCTCCGTAACCATTTCTGTATAATGATGATCAGGTGATCGGGGCACGGTCGTCGTTCACCTGGGTTGACAACGAAATATTATAACCGCACGGGTTAGGACGGTACTTTCTTCTCGTTTCCAATAACTTTTTTTGCTCGTACCGATGTAATGATGTTATCCTGTAAAGGTGTTGCCGTCTATGGTGCTGTTTTCGCGAGCGCAAATAGATGTTGAGATTAATAATAAACTTTTTGCACATAAGTGGTACTGGGTGTTATTTTTAATACTGAACTGTTAGAATTTTAATCAGGAACCTTCTCATGTAAATGCGCTAGACCTCTTTTCATTGGCATTTACGAGGTTAATCTTTCATTGCAGACAACGTTGGTTCCTTCTGCTAAATGCAATGTGTGCCAGAATATAACCAGTCGTTGCATGGCAGTGTCGGTCGCAACCGATGACCCAAACATCGGGTCAGTATGTTTGCCCTTTTCCAGGCTTTGTTCTTGAGTTTCTTTCCTATTTGTAGAGGTTTTCTTCCTGGGATTTTAAAATGAAATCTTATCCAACATTTTTCTCTGACGATTCTACATTAATCGTACGACTACTTTCAACATATGAAAATTTGCCAGTGAACAAATTGCTTTGCTGTTTCATTGGTTTTGCCCGGACAAAAAGCTTTAGAAAATTGGTTCATTAATGTTCATATAATGTGATGATTAGAATAAGTTTCAACAATTACTCGCGAAATCCAGTAATCCACAGATTTCCCTCATGAGAGTTATCTCGAGCTGGCTGGTTGCATGTCTATATGCCTCATATGAAGCTGGAGGGTCAAACTCTGATCAGCTGGTTCTTGTGCTGGAATGAAAATGTGATTTGCGGTTTCCGTATAATGAATTCCCTGTCCTTTTAACGTTGGATAGAATTGTACCTCCCGTATACAGCCCTATACGTACGTATGCATTTGCACTTGAGTGAATGCTTCTGCTTGGTTCGATCAAAGAATTTTTTAAAAAAGTGACACTCAAGGGCACAGAAGTGCTTCAAGCCACCTTCGAGAAGTAACTTTACATGTTTCATGGCATGCGCAGGCGAACCGCACATAGACGACCTTCTTTGTCGAATAAAAAGTGCATTCTCTTAGAAACTTTACTAATGTGATCACCTAAGCCGGCCTATGATTGGTGGGATTGCAGACACTACCAACTAACACATCTATTCTGAGCAGCTCACAGTGATATTAAGAATACGGTCAATAGTTCTCTTGGCATTGATCATGTAACGAAATGGTTAGCGGCGAAGTGTAGCGGTTCAGATTGATGTAGAATATTAGCCACGCGGGTCTTTAAGTTGGTTTAGTTGATCTACCAACCTAAAACTTGGGTAATTAAACCTTTAATACATAAATACAACACTGATAACATGATAGTAACGATAGAGAAGTAATGGTGGAGGAATGACACAAGTTAGAGCTCTGAGGTGCTAAGGCCTGTAGTGAAGTGAGGCTAACAATGAGGCAATGGCATTCAAACATTATTATACCATTAACACAATATTAACAATAATAATGAGATTACAACGAAGTAGCCTCTGCTTAGCCGCAAGCGATGCCGCGCCGCGTCTATTCGCGGCCGGTGCGGCGGCTGAGGGAGACAGTATGCTGGAGGCGGAGGGAGGAGACTGTATGCCGCGGAGATGGAGACAGTATGCTGAGGTGGTGAGGGTTACAGACTGGCCGTGTTTCGGCCAAGCTAGGATTTCAACATTATAGCGATGAAGAGCATCTCAATGGATCGATGAGGGCTGTAAGTTAGATGAGCGTTGACGGTGCTATGGACAGTGAATGATGAGTCATCTACGGAAAACAGTCAGGCGGCTGGTCGTGAATGTCTATGTCAGCAACGTGAACTTTGAGCATCGATGGGTGCCACCATTGCCTAAGGGTCAAGGGCCAGTGTGATAAATGGCTACAAAACTGATAAGCCTATAGCGGCTTAGCAGAATACATAGCATAAGTTGGCCGCTTAGCGGCATTGTACACATTGCGTGTACATTGTGGGAGGAATGGTACATGCCACCGATGGCGTTGCAAACAGAACGCATTTGGTAACACCCGCCACTACTGACATTGCACCGTAGACAAGCTGAGAAACAAGATACAATAATCTGCTGATTGCTGAATGATGAATGCGAAATGTGAGAATGAATGTGATTGAAGGAGAATGAATGAGTATGACCAAAAATGAGTTGAGGTGATTGAGGAATATTGAGGATGTGGTTGTGAGGAGCGGATTATCCGCGCTACCGATCGGGGGTAAGGTGAATGATGACATGTCTCCGCCGTCGAAGGCACCCGGTTTATATCGGCTGCAGGAGCCTCGAGCGTATGCAACCGCGGTTAATATGGATTGCTGATCCTAGACCGCAATAGACTATACCTAACTGCCTGAAACATCAAACGTCATTAGCTTCGTTGTTTCGCAAGGAAGTAGTAAACTGTTCTATGGTTATGCCTCCTTCGGATAAGCCATCGTCGCTATGCTACTGAAGTCAAACCTGAATCGCCATTGTGCCTGAAACGTTGAACATAATTGATCGAGAAGATTTGAAAAGGTTACATTGCGGTGTGTGATGTGCGAGTGCGAGGCGGCCATATTTGGACTTCAAATACTATTATTTAGATAGATAGAGAACTTTTCAAGGAGGAAGTTCTCTATAGATCAACCCCTGGAGATGCGCTATGCATCCGATTTCAATGCTTCGTTAGAAGCGACTGAATGCATACCTGGGCTCGCAGCGACTTACCGATGTATCAAGTCAGTGCTGCTATCCTCTCAGGCAGGTCTGGTACCAATTTTCCGACCTCAGAGGGATGGAAGGGTTGGTGAGCTTGGGCGCAGGATCGGACCGATGTATATTGCAGGGCACCCTTAACCCTTGCGTCGCGTGAGCTCCCTATGGTGGGGCGGCTAGATTATATAGGAATACCAAGTAGTTAAGATGATTCGGTCGGAATTTGCTGCTCGCCTTTCTGTATGCCACGCGGGACTTCTTGTAAGTAGTAGTCACAATGCTGGAAACCTCAAACTTGGGTAATTAAACCGTTTATCATAATTATACAACAATCATAACAATACAACTCTACAATTAATGTAACAATGATCCTGGTTATGAGTAGGCGCAGCCTGATCACTGGTGTTCAGGTTGCTTATGAGTGAAGAGATTGGCATAACAGTACAACAGTATAATTAATGCAACGATGATACGGGTAATGAATAGACGCAGCCTGATCACTGGTGTTCAGGTTGCTTGTGAGTGAAGAGATTGGCATAACACTTTTACTACATGAGATGGATGTGAAGCACGAATGCGGTGACTTGGGCAGCATTGCTGTGAAATGAGCTAGCTAACCGTGGAGCCGTTTATATACCTTTGCGCTGGGCGGAGTCAGATTACAGTAGGCGGAGTTGGGCTACAGTAGGCAAAAAGACGGGTGCTGGAAACATTTCACAAGCCTTGCGATCTGATAGGGCGATATTCAAAGCCTAGGACCGTAAGTGCAGATATTTTACGAGATAGGCGCCAGCGAAATGTTAGACATACGGCTATCAGATCGTCATAGAGAAAAGGTCATGGGAGAAGCATTTGAAATGTTTGGAAAGGGTATAATTGATTTACATAGAGAACATTCCAATATTCGTGAAGAATGTTCTCTATACTCTCATCAGTAGTTATTGCAAGCAAATCATTACTGTCTCAAAATTATTTTCATTTCTAATTACTTCTAATAAAAATTATTTCAGCGAATACCAAGCAATAAAAACAGGAAGAAAAATCACAAACTCTATGTTGTATAAAGTGATACGAATACACTTTAAACTTTAAGCTATTAAGTCCGACTTTCTATTAACCTCGGCATTGATTGAATAATTTTTTCTACTTCTACTCAGCAAACACGAGGTGTTACCTTATTTTTTTATTTACGTACAAGCTGACGTTTCGGCGGGTTTCGCCTTCCTCAGAGCCGCTTTCTATGAGCCTTCCACTCATAGAGTAGAAAGACTAGACTCATAGACTAGTAGACTTTAAGCTATTAAGTCACATTTTTGAGGAAGGAAAGAAACATCATCATATTGTAATAAAAGAGTGAAGAAATATGTATTCTTTCTTTGATGAACTAACATGGGGTTGATGATAAGATTTATTCGGCCAACGTCTCATCTTCCTCAGGGCCCATGAACCGAGGGAATTATCCGCAGTCGTCCGCTCTTTCGCCGTGATGCCTTCGTCGTCGCATCGAGCCGAATGATATTCAGTGGAGCAACGCCCACATAAGGCATCTCACCCGGCGATGCTCTTTCATACAGGATGATTGTTGATGATACTGAGTGCTCGTGGAACGACACCGAGACGTTGACCCAATAACGCTGTTTATCACCCTCGTGTTAGCTTATCAATGAGAAAATACATGTTCAACAGTCATGCCGAGGTTAAAGGGAAAGTGCGTTTTTGAAACAATGATCATTGTTCCCAGGATCGACTTCCTATTAACCTCAGCATTGGTATATGAATGCGTCGTTTTCTTCTTCAGCAATTGCGAGGTTGTTATACAGCATACATTTACTTCCATAGAAAAACACAATACAATACAACACTAGCTGACGTTTCGGCAGTATTGTCTTCTTCAGAGCCTGGAAGGGTATACTGTTACGCAATCTACTAGGCTAAACGCTTCAATAGCACTTATAAAAATACGAAAAACTCTTTGGTAATTACATGATCAACAGCTTCTCGAAAAACTCACCGCTTTTTACGTGACTTCCAATGAGGAAGTTTAGAACAGCTGATTATAGCCGCATATGATTGACGACTGCACCATCCCACATCAAAAGTCGATGCGAACATACGGGGTCAGGTCGCGTATGACCTCCGAGCATTCGTCCCTGCTATTCATAGTAGGGTTTTTAGCATTTATCCAAAAAGTCTCAAGTTTTCGCGCTGGTGTTTTGGACTCCTGTGCAAGGATATTGACTTTTACTTCAAAATCGTCTCTGCTATGCTTTTGTATCCTATGCGTGCCTAGTGGGGTGCTTCGTCTTAGTTTTCGTTTGCCATCTAGGTGTTCTTTTATACGGATACACAAAGGTCTGCCCGTTTCGCCAATATATTCATCTCCGCAATTATTACAAGAGATCAGGTATATCGTACCTGAACTCATGCAATCACCGTCCCTGCCGTAAAGGCAAATTACGCAATTTGTTGTTTCATACAGACGGTCATACAGACGGTTACGAACTAATTGACGACGCAGAGTAGCTGGTGGTATTTCAACTATCGCTACCGATTCCTCTAGACCTGCCCTTCTTAAGCATCGTTTTATAGCTGCGCTTACTTCATCGCTTATAAAGCGCGACATAAACGGGATTTTCTTTTGGCCAAGTGTTTCGCGTGGGCGCGTCGCTCTCCTAAACTTATCTCGTGGGGTTACTATTTCGTAGCCATTGGAGATGGCTATTTGCCGAGCCAAGTCGCGCGATTCTTCCTTTAGTTCCCTGCTAGTGCACACAGAGGTGGCTGTTCGAAACATGTTTCTCACAATCGCCCTCTTTGTGTGTGAAGGGTGGGAAGAAAGGAAGTGAACAAGGATGTTCTTGTTACTTGGCTTTCGATACCACTTTGTCAGGTAACCGCTACTTGATAGGTTTATTTGGACGTCCAAAAATGGAAGCCAGTTTTTTCTCGGTTTCTCCCGGGTGAACTTTATGTACTCGGACTGCTCGTTCAATAATTCAAAGCATTTGTCCATCTCTTTCTGCGTAGAGAAGACGACAAAACAATTATCTACATATCTGCAGTAGAGTAGTGGCTGGAGATCGAGAACAGGGGTTTCTATCTTCATTGGCCTCATTGGAAGTCACGTAAAAAGCGGTGAGTTTTTTGAGAAGCTCTTGATCATGTAATTACTATAGAGTTTTTCGTCTTTTTGTAAGTGTTATTGAAGCGTTTGGCCTAGTAGATTGTATATCAGGATACCCTTCCAGGCTCTGAAGAAGGCGATACTGCCGAAACGTCAGCTAGCGTTGTATTGTATTGCGTTTTTTATGGAAGTAAATGTATGCTGTTTAAAAACCTCGCGATTGCTGAACAAGAAAAATGATCATTGTATCATCGGCTGTTATGAAAACGAAGACGTCGAGACGTTAGCCCAAATAAATCTCATTATCAATCTCGTGTAAGCTCTACAATTTAAACAGACAATGAAGAAAGTTAGTAGTAAGTACTCATAGATGTTCACTAAAAAGGGCTTTGATTTCCTGTAAGATTCTAGATTTCGTCGTAACACCTGTGTGAGAGTATCGCGATCCTCGCCGATTTGCGGCTCTGGCAACCAGAAGCCTCGTCAACAACTTAACGAAAACACCGGTTCTCTAGAATAAGTCCACCTAGTTTTCGCAAACTGCCGTAATCAAATAACTAAAGAAAGATGAGAGGTTTCAGGATACATTGACGCATCACCCATTTATGGTTCATCAGTACACGACTCTGCCAAATTTCGTCAAGGCAACACTGGGTTTCTGAAACTTCCATCCTTTAACGGAATGCAAAGTAAGACCGCTCAAAAGCAGTCACTTTTTGTGATTCTTGAGTTTACCTTTTATTTTTGTCTTGCACTTACAGCATGATGAGGTTTAGTATAAAACATGAATTTTAGCTCATAAACTTTACAGCGAGCGTAACATTTAGGAAAATTAAATGTCAGGTGTGGCGAATGCGAGAAACGACGGTCTTCAAATAGAAGGAATTTGTAATATTTAAGTCTACTGTACGCACACTTCCCAACGGTCTACCTCCTCATCGTGGTTCCTGGATGTCGGCCTGCGTTGCACAGCGGGTGGGGTGGATTCATCTCCCACCAGGTTCCCCAAACTGAGAAGGAGACCGGCATTTCTGTGGGGAAGCCCAGCTAAGAGCGAACCAATACCAGGATCCACCACCGCCCTGGTATCGAACTTGTCGCATGGTGGCAAATCTCCCTCTGATCCGTAAAGGCCGGAGGCTCCGTGTGGTGGTGACGACCTGAGATAGAGTTTGGCCATGCTAATCTCGGGACTCCAGGGAACCACAGTCGCTAGGCTAAGAAACTCCGAAAACGGAAATTATGATGGGACCCGCAAACCAGTGAACACGGGCCACCCAAGTATCCATGTAGGTATTGTACGCACAAAGTATGGTGTTAGAGGAGAAAATCGAACCTATTCTGCGATCTTCTGTTCGATCTAAATCGTCCTTTGGTAAAGTGGTTAGCTATGTATTATTTGAAAATGGAGAATACGCAAGACGCTCGTTTGTTAAATACTCTATTATCATTTGAATAAGCATATTGGATGCGGTGAACAAGTGTTCTGCGTTTTATCCCAGTCCATACTTTTGAGATTGTTTTATCGTAGTGTTACCATTCGATCAGTCAAAGTGCAAAAGCCGTAAGGAATGCACCGTAATCTTCACAGCTGGTGACAGTCGTGTGAATCTATTCGTTGGGCTATCGGCTTGGCACACTATATTCACTCGCGAGCACAATCGGTAAGTTGGTAGGTGCTTCCAAAAAACCAATTGAAAATTCTATCGTTGTTGGTCTCAGAGTAGTTGCCACGCTAACCCATCTGAATCCGAACTGGGATGGCGAACGCCTTTTTCATGAAGCCAGAAAAATTGTTGGAGCTGAAGTGCAGGCCATAGTCTATAGGTAAATCAATAGAGCTACTGTTGAAAAATAAAAATGAATGTTTTATCTTTTTCGGCAAAGTCAACTAAAAGTAGCGTTTCTCATCACATGATTTATCTATTGTCCTTAACATTGCATAACAACTGTGGATCTCCAATTCAAGCGAACGTATTTGTTTTCATGTTGAACTTCCCATTAGTTCTGGAAAAATCAATAGAATCTCTGCATCTTTGTCAACAAGACCAAAATTCTGTCGCCAGCACGACATTTGGGCGGAATCCACAAACTCTTTCTTTTTGCCTTTTAGTCAAAACTTGCATTTTCGAAACTAAATGATGTAACAGGCAGCATTTCGTTCACAATGACGCAAGAGCTTCCGGGAATAAAGAAGGAAGTCTGCGGCTGCCTCGCCCGCGCAAAATACCTGGTCTTAATTTTCTGGAATTCGGATTTCAACAGAATGTTTTACAAAGTCATTCATGCCTTAGTGCCATAGGGCGAATCCTGTTCCCTTCTGGTGTTCTCAACTTCTCAGATACCTAGTTACTGAATAATTATCAATACTTATCGGAAAACCACTATTGGGCTTTACGCGAGAAAGATGGCTCACTTTTCTAAATGTTTCGTAGGGCCACTAAATTATACCGGCGGAACTTGTAGGGAATGGCTGCCAAAGATCCTCGGAGCAGCGTTCTCCTCAGTGGTGGGTGACTATCGAGGATATGATCCTAGCGTCGACTCCACCGTCGCCAATGAATTTACTTCTGCAGCCTTCCGATTTGGTCATGGAATGATCCAGGTATGCAATATCAGAAAAATATTTTACCAAGGAGCATGTCTTAGGCAATTCATCGCGTTCAACCAATGACTATCCGTAACACTAACCAAAAAGGTGTTCCAAAATGCTCCAAATTTTAGGCAAAAGGCAACGATCCTGTAAGCCTTTTCTATCGATTTCTTTTGATTCCGATGAAAGTTTAGGAATTTTACCAACGTCTAGATCCGAATTTCGGAAATTCTTCGTTTGGTGCTCTTGCTTTCCAGAAAGGAACACTTCATTCGGATGTGCTTGTTAATGAGGTAATTATTTTTTAAGGGGAAAAATAGCTTAAGAATAAATTGCCTTCACCTTGAGTGACTTCAGTATGCTCCAACTTAGTGTTATACTTCTAGGGTGGACCTGATCCACTATTGAGAGGAATGTTTTTGCAAGGCGTTAAAAGGCCTCAGCGAATAACCACTACTGTAACAGAAAACATGTTCGGCTCAACCGATCTCAGCACCATCAACATACAGGTAGGACTGCTTGTTCCGAAAGCACTTCATCTTCAACTGAATACCTTCAGAGAATGGCCATTAAAAACATCGCACTTATTTCCTGGTTTTCACATGTAAAACAGATTGCGTTACGAAGTGCACCTTGATTATGAATTCCTATTGTTGTTTATTACATTTTGCCTTCCCTTTTTCAAATCAGACATCGTTTATAATCCCAATGAATCCCGTAGATAAAGAATTAAGGGAAATAAAGACGTGCACTTCACTAATAACATTAGAAAATCATAGTGCCCTGCTGCTAACACGCAGATACGAGTTGGTTCGATTTCGCACCTAAGGTAAGCAACCCTCATCTCTTCGTTGCCGACAAATTCGTCCATGAATTTTCTGAAAGGATAAGAACACTGACCTGACACATCGGTAAACCTCTTCAAGTCATTTTATGGACCAAATATACATTCGGAAACCTCTGTGATGCTTAATAAAGTCAAGCGCATGCCTCATCGCCAAGGGATTACTAAACTCCGGACAATTTATCCACTACTTCTAGGGTGGACCTGATCCACTGTTAAGAGGAATGTTTTTGAACCTCTGTGATGTTACCCTTTATATAAATTCGTATCCAGTCCTCCAGTCTACTACTATTCTTCTTTGACTGTTGAATGAAATAAATAAAAAGTAAGAAGACAAAATTTTTGACATCAATTTAGGCTTCGCTGTATTTTATTTGGAGAATTGATGTTGTCTTCTTGGTCAAATTACCAATTAGACATACTTATAGTAAGTTCCTAGTAAGTAAAAAGTTCCTAGTTCCTAGTACTAGTAAGTACAGTTCGTTCCTAAATATACTTATAGTAGTTGGTATACAGTTTGATGGAGCAGGTTATGGGCTGTTTAATGGGCAGGTTATGAAGGAACAGTCGCTGGGTATCTCGGTTAAGCAAGCAAGTTTCTTCAGCGAGGCCGTGACCATGGCCATCCTAGCTACACCAAGTATCGCGAATTGTGTGGAATGGGACTGGCGACCACGTTCGATCACGTATGAATTTTTATTCACTAGATAATCCGACTATGCATTAAAGGCATTGTTATTTTTTAAAAAAACATGAATTCAGCTGTCTCGTGAAATCCTCAATACTGCGACTCGTGAGAAACTGCAGAAGGTATACGGTAGAGTGGACCGTATTGATCTTTGGGTTGGTGGACTGCTTGAAGACCCTGTGGTTAGAGGGCTTGTTGGCCCGACAATTGCATGCATTGTTGGAGCGCAGTTCAAACGAACAAGGGACGGTGATAGGTTGGGAGTTTTTTCAATGTTCTATGGAATGTAGGTGTACGTACCAACAAAACAGCCATAAGTGAATGATTCTGAACTCCGAAGTCATACTTTGTCTCACATGGAAAGTGCACAGTACGTTGTACTACCGTATCGATCGTTCACTTTTTATGAGATTATAATGCGTTTATCAGAACTTTGAATCCAGATTCTACTACGAAAACCCCGGAGTTTTCACTCGCGCCCAATTGTTCGAAATTCGTAAAAGCTCGTTGAGTAGAATTATCTGTGACAATTCGAATACTATAACAGTGAGCAATTTAAAACCCCTTACTTTATGTCGTAAGTTTAAAAACGGATTTTGTTATCGTTTAGGTCGTTCCGCGAGAGGCATTCCGACTGGGTCATCTCACTCCATGTAGTCAGATACCACAAATGAATCTGAGAAAATGGAAAGAGTAATTAATGTTATAACTTAGGTAAATGTCAAGAGTATTTGAGAAGAGCCCTTAACTTAAAGTTCGATGGAGAACTTATCCAAATAACGTCTGGGAAATTCACCTACTTGCGAACTGCAGCTAGCGATAACCTTGCACATGATAGAAAACTATCAATCATTTGGGCATTGAATATACCTATAACCTGAGCCTTAAACTCTTCATCCTGTTTTTGATCTTATATAGTTCCGAAATTTTCGACCTCCTTGGAACCGGAGCATTTATAACGAATAGGGGTTAATGCCTCCCCTCACAATCCTGTAAATATCAGAATTCTATTGTTACTATTACGTATATTCAGAAATCACCCATTCGTTAACAGTATCAATGTGGCAAAAAGTGTTCTCAAGTATGACTAAATTTTGATATAAATGGAGTTTCACCACTTTCTCCTCCTGTTCTATCCGTATTTCCAAGTTACAAAACCTATCACCTATGAGCAATAAAGTATTATTGCGTCTCGGCTGAAACCTAGTCGCGAAGTGCTAACTTCTATCTAATCCACAATGTCCACGAATACTTGTGTAGCGACGATCTTAAATCGGCTTTGCACGGGTTTCTAGGGACCAGTGAATTCTCGGGAAAAAAATGTCATGGAAACGGTTTTGCAGGACAAATGCTTCTCTTCCTGATTCGCACGATTTCCATGAAGAGGGGACCTCAGGCATAGAGTATTTAGAATCATCAACACTCCAATCAATGTACTACATTTTCTTCTAGAATATGGAAGAACAAGAATCTTAAATTAATATCTCTTGCAAAGATTCGCGCGACATGTGGCAAGTGAGTCCTGGAGGCTTTTTTGACTTTGGAAAATTAAAGGAAACACCTGTTATTTCATTGTAATCCCTACGATAGCTCATATTTATTTTATGGAACGTATGGGTATGAAAAATCCCGGAACAAATTCGGCATGGGCTGTTGAATGCTTCGAACTGCAGATAGCAATGTATTTGCATAATGAACCATAAAGTAACACGTAGTAAATAGCAGCATAGCTATTATCCATACCCGAAAAACGGTAGATCAAAGTGTCATCTACAATCCTGTTATGTTCAAAACCTCTCACTTCCTATATCTACTGGAAAAGATTCTTTGTCAAAAAACCCGAAAGTCCGCAGTCAACGAAAAAATGCGCGAAAGCTGTTGTGTCAACCACGCAATGCGGTAGCCGCGACGAAATTGGTCATTTAAGACAATTTCTGTATTACGATCAAAATACTGTAAGGAAAATTAACCAGAATCTTGGACAGGTTGAAAACAACGTCCTTAGGAGGTCTTATGCATGGAAAGACCCAAACATGGGAAGCACACCGACGATTTTGATATCGCTAAATCAGGGCGGGTGTAGCGCAGTGGTCAGAGGCGCCCTGCATACATGGGATCGATTCCCGCACCGTGGTCCACCAAGCGGTCCATCACTCCGCAGTCGGCAAATTGGTACCAGACTTATCTGGAACGATAGCGGCACTGCCTCAATACATCGGTAGGCGACCATGAGTCGTTGTAAAACCAGATATGGATCCAGTCACCTCCAAGCCATGTTTAACGAAGTCGAATGCATGGCTCATCTCTAACAGATTGATAAACGCCAAAGAGCTTTATTCTTTTAATTCAGCAAGCTTTTGAAAGAGATATGGAAAAAACAATACCACCCTTTTCTACCTCATTGACTTTTTTGTACAGAGTTCTAATACTATAATCCTACTTTCCTAAGTGAGTTCTCATTAAATTAAACCGAATCAAATTGTTTCAGGTCATTTTAAAATGGTCAATGCGGGCTCAACAAAGCCATGTTACGCTTTTTTCATTGTTCTCGTTGAGATCTTCCATACCATTCACCTACTGTTAACCTCATTTTTATGCCGCGATGTGTGCTTTCTCATCGATCAGAGCTGTTACTACGATCCAAAGTACTGAACGGTATTGAAGAATAAGAAGTTGTTTCCTTGAAGTGAAATAAATTCATGTAAACAAATTTATTACCGTAAAAATCTACGACGATTGTTATTTCGCCTTTTTGAACGACGTTTCAAATGCTGAAAGATTATCCATCGGCTCTCGAAGAGGAGGAGACACGGACTTTCGACCCACTATTCTAATATAGTTGATTGGCACAAGACCAACGCGGTCACCGTCTTGCGAACTGAACAAAAAAATAAGGAACTCTGTTGGCATCGTTAAAACATGCCGTAAGTTTTTTTAAATACAGACTGCATACGAACTATGGCATCATAATCCTAACCCTTTTATTTACTGCATTTTTCTTCTTAATGGCAGGGTATATTGCGAAATATAACTCGTATGAAATGCTGAGATATTTGCAAAATTCCGGGCCACAGGTGTATGCGGTGGGGAACGAACGCGCTATGTACTCTGCCATTAAAAAAGAGTAGGCAGTAAATAATAAATTGAAATTGTGATTCTAACTAAGCCTCATCTTAACTGGGTTCAATGCCGATATTGGCTCCCCAGATCAATCCCGTTGACGGGTGATTGCTGATGGCAAAAAGATCGATAGAACTAGCTGAGAGACAGGCAAGACGAATGACCCGAATGGTGTGGTGGTGAAGTGCGCTGCTCCCCGGTGAGGACAACAGCGCATGTTCGTTTCCCACCGTATACACCTGCGGTCCGGAGTTTTGCAAATGTCTCAGCATTTCACATGGCAACGTATTTTAGCAATTGTGCTGAAATAATTATGTGCTTTCTTCACAGTTTCCAAATGTCAGTACCCAACCTCTTTCCAACGGTTTACCGCCACATCATGGCTGGGAGGTAATCCTGTGTGTCGGGCTGTGATGTACACCACGGATTCATCTCCCGGAAGGGTCTCCCAAGCAGAGGAGAAGTCCGGCGTTTCCACCAGGAAGCCCAGCTAAGAGTAAACCAATACAAGGATCCACCACAGTCGTGGTATCAAACTAGTCGCAAGGTGGCAAATATCCCTCTTATCCATAATGGCGGCGAATGCTTGTGGTAGTGACGACCTGGGGCAGACTCTGGCCAGGCTGAGCTCTGGACTCCAGGAAAACACTATGGCTAAACCAACAAAACTCCAAAAAATGGAATTCATACTGGGTCCGCACAACCAGTGAGGACGGACCATCCACGTGTTTAAGTAAGTACCCGACCTATTTCAATCGCAATCGGATAAAGAAATTTGGGAACGAAACAATTGTATAAAGTAACAATCATAACAAAAAAAGTAAAAATACTTGTGAATGCAGAAAATGTGGCTCCCGATAAAGTCACTACCAAATCTTCTCAATAAATAAATGGAGAACCAAATCACCTGGCAAGAAGCCATCCTCGCACTCGTGGTTGCTCCTCTTTAGGTGCTACTCGAAGTATTTCTCCTTTCATGAATGAAAGTTCCTTATCATTGGCGGCGTGGAAGTCATAGAGAGCCTAGAAATGAACACTGAGAACAGCTGAGAGCTGAAATAGGGAAAATTCAGTTACCACGTTGTATGTTCCAAACATCATGCGAACTCCTGCAATGTAAAAGGCCCAGGCCCAAAAATTTAAATAATTCAAGCGTTGGTAGATTTCTTCTGTTCTCTCTGACGTTTAGAGTGAAATAAATGTTGAAGACCTACTTAATTAACGGTGCTTACCTGAGCAGTATAATGTGCACCGGAGCCAGTGGCCCACTTCCTGCTTTCCTCAAATGATTGAACCATTTGAAAAATGGCTTTGTATATCAACCACGGGCCACCAATAGCAGCCATCCAGAACATAATCGCAGGCCAATTAATAATTGGAGAACCAGACCTCGCCAATACTTCCGAACCCGCAAATAGTTTCTGATTAATACAAATAATATATAGAAAATACGAAAGGAAAAGAGCAAACCATATGGCTGATTTATAGCGCTCCACGCTAATTCTTCAACACTAGCATAGTTTGCCGGCTTCAAACGAAGAAATACTAAGAGATATCGCCACAGCCTTTGGATAAATTTGAAGACAGATAATGAAAATATAATCTTTGTAAGCTGGAAAAGAAGAAACTTATTACAACAAAAAGCGGAAACTATCATATAATGGTACCCACTTGGAATTTGAGCCTGGACAACTGCTCCACAACTCCAATTACCGCTCGAAATGAGCTATATACAGCATTATGTGTTGAACTTAGCATATGAGCCACTGAAGAAACAGCGTTGACCACTGATTCGATAGATTGAAATGCCTTTCGAGATGATTCTAAAAAGCAATATGCCTCCAAAAGAAAAAAAAAAGCCGCCATAGGCTACGATTCAGTACAATTTAGCTGTTAAGGCATTTACTTGGATATTTGGATGGTCCGTCCTCACCAGTTGTGTAAACACAAGCACCGTTTCCATTTTTTCGGAGTTTTGCTGGTTTAGCCAAAACGGTTCCCTGGAATCCCAAGGTCAGCACAGCCAAGGTCTGCCCCCAGGTATTAACCACGTCATGGAGTTGCCGCCCTTGTGGACTCTCAGTTGGATTCCCGATGGAAGCGTCGGAGTCCATTTCAGTTTGTGGAACCTTGCTGGGGAATAAATCTCCTCCCTCTACATCGCAGTCCTACACCCAGGAACATCTTCCAGCCACGATGAGGCAGTAAACCGTTGGGAGGAGCTGTTACGGTATTCTAAAGAAACCACACCTTCTGCTAATCTCACGAAATTATTCTCTGAATCGTCATATCCGTGTTGACCACCATGATTTCCTACCATTCCATTGCCGTACATCCCACCATACCTAAAATAACGAGAAAGATATCGACAAAATGAAATATCTCAACGATAAAGCGCATTTTCCATTGTCCAAGAACTACTTTTATGCCCTCATGCAAGACATTTCGAGCCGTATTCCTAGGTGGAGAAGAGCGGCGTAAACAATGGGTAAAATCGACCATGTATTTGCAATGACACTAAGTTAGAAACGTGGGTTAAATTATGCCTTCTGCATACACATTACTATAGTTATTTCTATACATAATGGTATGAGAGTCGGTATACAGATTGTATAATTGATCGAATCGGGTAGAAACCCGAGGTTAAATGAGTAACAACAGCATGTGATTGTTCGACGTCACCAACAAAAAACTCGTCGTCTTCTCAGAAAGAGCATAATAAGCCATCCATAAGTAAAACCCGTCATCCGTAACGGATTTTGGTAATCTACAAATGTACGCTCTTATCAAGAACAGTAAAAACGAAGGACCCCTTACAGGTGTTCAACTCGTTGTGTCGCTCAAGCTGACAGAGCCCGTCGTGCGGATCTAACACACATGAAGTACGATCTACAGGAGGAATAGACACAACTGCTTTCATGACTAACACACACAGTTCGAAACCGAATTTCATGTGACTTCCAGAACTAAGTCATGCCTAACATTCCACAGCACCGGTAGTGAACTGGAATCAATTCACGTCAGCCAGTGCATCCCAAAACAAAAGACGTCAACCCTTTTCCTATACTTTTCGCCTTATAATTCAGCTATTCTATGTATTTTCTCATCTATTTCTAGAATTTAACAACAAACATAGAAAAAACCATACACATATATATATATATATATACATATATAGATACATGTATATATTTATATATAAAACCCAAAATGGACGACGTTACCTATTCCACAACTCCTATAACTTTCCTACAAGCTAAAATAACGAGAAAAAAACATATTATTCGTGTGAATTTTGCAAAGTGAATTATTCTAGCACCATGTATAACATCTATGGGATGTTTTGAGAACAAGATTCCTAAACAAAATGCATAATGTGGGAAACATACTGCTGAACGCCTAGATGTTCTGTAGAGAATTGCTTGGCAACGTCAAGTATATCACAAGACTACTGTTACACCTGGACAAATCTCTTCGGCAGTTCACCTTTTTTTCTGGTGAGATGACAGCAAATGCCAACGTTCAGTATTAAGGGCTAACACCTCCACTAGCAAAGAAGACATAATAGTTCCTTCCTCAACAGCGACAATCTCTCACTACGAGATTCAGATCAGAGGCCAACAATCTCGTTCAATGAAGTGCGTGGGATGAAATATGGAATTAATAGACAAAGTGCTACAGAAAAAAACCTCTGAGTGAGAAATAAACGGCTGGAAACAGAGTGAGTTACTATTAATTCACAATGACAATGTGGCCCACCTAGGGTATGGGTGGGAATTCATGTCGCTAGTGGTACTACAGGAAACGAAGGTGATGCATGCTATATTAATTACAGGCAATTGGTGCTCGTGCAAAATGAACATGCGTTTATCAACAACATCATTTTATTTGTACAAAAAGCAAAAAAAAAGTAGAACGTACGCACATTCCGTAACCATAGCCAGCAGGACCACTGATCCCGTATCCGGCTCCACTGTATGCCATCGGGCTCCCGTACAAACCATATGCGGACATCAGACCAGGATTGATGTTCGTGTCCGTGGGTCTTGGTGGAAGTGGAGGTGGAGCCGTTGAGTTGCTCGACGAAGGTAGTCCAGAACTCATTGCTTCAATCGTATTTTATAGCAAACTGCAGTAAAGATATTGAAGAATTACGAATGAACGGTGAAAATCACGGAGATGATTGCCCTTCCACAAGACTCAAAGACATGAAAATGAGGAAAAGAATGGTAGGAAATGGAATGGCACGTAGTTCGTACCGATTTTGAATAGACACAATAGCGTGTTAACCAAAGAGGTGTATATATGGCTGACATGTTGTGAAGGATAAAAACCAGAAGAGTAAGCCAAGACATCATCCTCAGGCCAATTCGGATGGGAAAAGATGCTCCGCATGAAACTTAAAAACTTTCCTCTGAAACAAATGAGGCACGACGAACTGTCGAAATAGCTGTCCACTAGTCGATGGAGTCGATGGATCGATAAGGGGCCGCTGAATCCACGAACTGATAAGACGTCAAGGTGTACCTGGCCCGAAGGTTAACACCATCAACTAAGCCATGAATAGCCAACGGATAGCCGTTCCCTTCCAGAATATTTGCCTCTTGCGATATCTCGTGGATGATGAAACTCACGGTGTGATAGCAAATAGACAAACGCTTCGAGAAATGCTCAAGAAATTGTTTGGAAAGTCTAAATCTAAAGATTCTAAAGAGACTGAAGGATATAAAAGGATAAAGCCCTCGGCGCTAATCAATCCCTGAGCAATGCGCTATGCATTCAACTTCATTAAGCACCGCTGGAGGTGATTGAATGTATATATGGCCTCTACAATAACTTGCGGTGGTCTACCGATGTATCAATCCAGTGCTGCTGTTCTCCTAGACAAGTCTAGCACCAATTTGTCGACCTCGGAGGGATGGAGGTCTTGGTGAGCCTGGGACGCGGGGATCGACCCCATGTGTATTGCAGGGCACCTCCGACCACTGCGCCACACACGGGCTGAAGGATATAGTGCCTAAAAACATATTCTGAAGCACCGCGTGACTTCATGCTCTGTGGCTTCGAAAAATGACAAATCTTCAAGCATATACGCCTCCATAGAAACATCTTAACGTCCGTGATTAACCCAGAATGGACGGGATGGGCACTTTAGTGTCATTTTGAATCTAGTGAGTTCCAGGATTTTTTTTCGGATTAAGTATATCCATTCGATACGAAATCGAAAGCAAATTAAAACAGTATGGATGGAACCGGAAAAAACATCCTCTACACTTAATAGTTTACAAAAAGGCCTTTCTTCAAAAATGTTCATGAACCGGTAATTTGACTAGCAATTAACTGCTACTTGAAATTGCTCCCAGGATCGACTTTCTATTAACCTCGGCACTAGAATATGAATGCGTCGTTTTCTTGTTCAGCAATGGCGAGGTTTTTAAACAGCATACATTTACTTCCATAAAAACACAATACAATACAACGCTAGCTGACGTTTCGGCAGTATCGCCTTCTTCAGAGCCTGGAAGGGTATACTGATATACAATCTACTAGGCCAAACGCTTCAATGACACTTACAAAAAGACGAAAGACTCTTTGGTAATTACACGATCAACAACTTTTCGAAAAAACCCACCGCTTTTTCGTGACTTCCAATGAGGAAGTTTAGAACAGCTGATTATAGTCGCATATGGTTGATGACTGCACCATCCCACATCAAAAATCGATGCGAACATACGGGTCAGGTCGGGTATGACCTCCGGGCATTCATCCCTGCTATTCATTGTAGGGTTTTTGGCATTTATCCAAAAAGCCTCTAGGAGTTTTCGCGCTGGTGTTTTGGACTCCTGTGCAAGGATATTGACTTTCACTTCAAAATCGTCTCCGCTATGCTTTTGTATCCTATGCGTGCCCAGTGGGGTGCTTCGTCTTAGTTTTCGTTTGCCATCTAGGTGTTCTTTTATACGGATACACAAAGGTCTGCCCGTTTCGCCAATATAAGTGTTATTGAAGCGTGTGGCCTAGTAGATTGTATATCAGCATACCCTTCCAGGCTCTGAAGAGGGCTATACTGGCGAAACGTCAGCTAGCGTTGCATTGTATTCTGTCTTTCTATGGAAGTAAATGTATGCTGTTTAAAAACCTCGCCATTGCTGAACAAGAAAGCGACGCACTGCTACTTGATTTTCATTACTATGGCCATTGCATGGCATGTGTGGATGTGGAGAATAAAACAGACTCAACATAAGGTCCGAAACGCTTCCAAGTGCTTACACTTGACTATCTTAGAATGATGAGATCTATGAGAAGACAATGAAGAACCACTCAACACTAACGTTAGCTAGATTGTCTTGTTATGCAGATACGGAAACACAGGTGAACTACCCTAGCAAACGAACTTCGGGAACTAGAGACCACAGATGAAAAGCCAGCCTTTTAAAATTGTTTGCAGAGAGACAAAGTCATAATCTGGATCCAGAGACACTTTTTAATGAACCAGCGTGAACATATACATGGATCGAACGGAGAATCAAGCAGTACGAATTGAAATGGACTTAAAGAACGTCGGACGTCGAATAATCATCCCCACCCAAGCCGCTGTAACAGTTTAAACAAATGAATGTCGGCTCTTTCTTATAGCTTATGTTAAATATGGTAACAGCGTAGAGCACGTGTAGAGCTGTGATAAGAGACGTCCTGCAATACACATTGGATCGATCCCGTGCTCCTTGCTCACCAAGCCTTCCATCTCTCCGTTGTAGGCAAATTGGTACGAGACTTGTGTGGGAGGCAACACTGGTTCGATACACCGGTAGGCCGCCGCAAGTCAATGTAAAGGCCAGATATGCATTCAGTCACCTTCAATGATGCTTAATGAAGTTGAACTCATGGCCCATCCTTCAAGGATTGATCTACGAGAACTGTTTTTTCATAGTCACGGCAGATTTAGTAGCATGAAAAGTGCCGAAATAACGATTTAAGAACGCATTGTATTTGAAGTAGAATAACTCACATTCGTGTGATAGACAATATGTGAATGAAATTAATACCTTCTTCTTACACTTGTAAATTACACCGAGCAAACATGGACTATAAAGTCTGACGAATAGGGAGTCAGAGTTTCAGGATTTATTGTTTCTCACCTTTCTAATTACAATGAAATGAAATTCCACTAAAATACAAAACTGGGAGACTTAATCAGACGCCAGTGAGAGAAATCCGGTTCAAGTCCGAGTGGACGACATGAAAAAGATGACGAACAGCAATAAAAGAATTTTATAAAGTAAACAACTTTTCCACAGAAAAGGGACAACGACTCGTAATAGCAGATACTGAGTGAACACAGAACGAGTCGCTCTATTTTCCCCTTCCTCGATAGCCACCTCTTCCTCGAGAAGCACCTCCTCGGGCTCCAACTCCGCCTTGTTTCCGAGCACGTTGCTGGTCTTTCTGCTGCCGACGAACCTCATTCACTTCATTTTTAACCAAATCAACAACCTTAAAAAGACACGGCAATAAAAGGCAATACCACAGTAATTAAATGTGGAACAAAACAAAGCAATATTTCATACCGTCTCGGGTATTCGAAGGTATTTAACAGTTGATCCACGAATATAAACCTCGGGCATTTTGAAAAACTTGTCACCATCCTAAAATTACTAGTTGTAGCGACATAAATCCTATTAAGATTGGCTCCAATGGTAAATCTAATAAAACAAAAAACCAAAAAAACCCTCACGAGAACACCGAATGAATGTGTGCATAAACCTGACTGCTTTTATAAAGGATAAAAAGGATAAAGTTTCGGCGTTGATCAATCCCTGAGGGATGTGTAATGCATTCGACTTCATTAAGCATTGTTGGAGCTGACTGGATGCATATCTGGCATTTACGACTGGTGGTGGCCTACCGATGTATTGAGCCAATGCTCCTATCCTCCCAGATGGCTTGGCGAACCTTGGGTGGGGAGATAGATTCCATTTGTACTACATGGTGACCTCCGACCACTGCGCTACATGCGCTGCATGCTACTGCTTTTACACGAAAGATATACGCCAACCCAGAGCAACAGATAAAGGGAACTCAAACTCTGAACGAAGCTGCTCCTCAAAGCAAATGTATGGACACCTTTAGTCCACGTTCAAAAACTCTTCCACAGCACAGCGAATAAACAGCACTAGAATCCTCTATAAGGGAGATCGCAGGCCGAGACAAACGCTTTTGTGAAGCAAGTTGAACAGTGACCGGAAAGGAAATAACTCTAAAAAAAGGAGGAGGGATAGCCCATTTCGTTATCAGGCAATAAATTAAAGGTTCAGGCCTGGCACAAGGATCTTTTGACAAAGATGTCGAACCACCTTAAAGCTTTTCAAAAGAAAAGAATGAAATTTTTTTAAAATCTCAATGTTCAACAAACAAATGCCAAACAATAGTTTCTAATCACCGAGCTACGAATGGAAGTCTATTCCGAGCGCAGTTCAAGTTAACAAGACCTAGTTTCATGGATTTTAATAATCTGAAGACTACAAACATCGTACACTGTTGGTGGTTTAGCATCGGTAGAAACGTCAGGACAGAGCGACTTTGGAACCGCTGTTTCGAAAATGGAATTTATCTTTTATTTTTGAAAACAGACGTTCAGTAGAGTCCGCCCTGAATAACCGACATATCTATAGTCCACATACTCAAAGATTTTCCAAAAACAAACTAAGTCAGATGCATCTTTTAATTTTGTTAAGGAAGTTGCATTGCCACAAATTGGGCGAGAAGGTTTCATAAATGGGAAGAAACGGATTTCATTGGTCAAGAAGAACTGAATTAAACTTCTTAACAACACATGCTACCTCTGTACTAAGGGCTGGTTCTGAGGTGGAGTCCAGAACGCTGCCCCACGTCATCTTCAATCCTGTAAAAGAACAGGCTACACTTTCGTTTGATGCTGTCGGATTTCTACATGTTTACAGAGCTCGGTCAGTACCCAACACTGTTATGCACTTTCCAAATGAAATGGCGCAGGAAGTCAACAAACAGAAGTAAAAGTTTTTTAAATAAGGAATAACTTGAAAAAAGGCGAATAAGGCGCATTGGTCAGAGGGGCCCTGCAATACATATGTGATAGATACTCGGGTCCGAGGCCCATAGAGCTTTTCATCCCTTCGTGGTCGGAGAATTAAAACATTTGTCTGGGAGGGTAGCAGCATTGCCTCGATACATCCACGACAAGTCATTGCAAAGGTCAGATATACATTTAATCACCTCGAAAGATGCTTAATGAAATAGAAGTGAAGTAGAACGCATGGCGCATCCTTCAGGGATTAATCAACGCCGACAGCCTTATCCTTTCATTAACTACTTGAACATGGATTGCCAGAAATTTTTAGTCGACGGCTACGGACTAATCACACAGCCGACCCTCTTCATTGTACATATTACATCGTCTCCAAAAACGAAACATTTGGAATGATAGGTTCGAAAATGGAAAAAGCATACTTTTGAAGTAAATATGACGTCCCTCAAGTGAATATTCATCCAGGAATCGCAGGATTGTAAGTGTCCATTGTACGTCTCTCCATTCTTTAGCTCAATCAGCATTGGATGATTCTGGGCAGTACGAAGCAAAGACAAAGGGAGCTGAATCAGGAAGAAAGATCAAACACTGTATTTACCATTGAACTAGGTCTGCGCTCATCAAAAGTGGGCTTACCACCATTTCTTATGCAGAGATTGCAGTCGTACCAGGTCTACAACAGTGGCGAAGAATGGCAGATCGAATAGAAGCTGAAATCACCAAGTATTTGCCATGGAGAGGAATTCGAGGCCTCCTCACCTTCCGGCCCGCGACGACCAACACAGAGCGAGAGCACAGATCAAGCGGATAAACTATTGCAACATAAAATGTAAAAATCACGAAACTACAGCAAATGGCTTTAGTATTAACAATATAGACTGCCCATGAGCCACTAGTTCTGTAAAAAAATTAATCGTTTCATGGCATGTATGACGTACTTACACCAAGCACACAATAAATGACGCTACGGTTTGAAACGCTTTCGTGGGGGAAGGGGTTTCGCAAGCTAGAAGGTCTATCTGTCCCTCTGGGAACGGATTCGGGTGTGAACTAGAGCAACAAGTCGCCGCCGTCATGGCAGCAATGTATTGGCAGGGTAACAAATCTCCCCCAGATCCAGAAGAGCAGACGGTTGCTTGTGCTGACGGCGTAAGACCACCTTAGCAAAATTTATTCAGAACTTCAGGAAAACCAGCGAATAAGTCAAGGAGTGATATATCATCTACATTACCCCACAATACGTAGGGCGTTGTAAGAAGTAAGAGGCGGTCACATCTCGAGATCTCGAGTGGTTTAGTCGCCATGGAGACCAGATCAGTTCATCACTCATCTTGGAGATTGCTTACCGCCCTACAACTCCAACACCAGAACTGTCTCCTCGAGCTTTAGTTTTTGTATGCTCTCCTTATGACCACAAATCGTGTCAAATCCCATTTCATCACCTTTGAACTCGAAAAAAGCCTGGAAACCAACAAGCAGCAAGTAAGGGAGGTAAAGGCAAAGTCCTACTAATAAATCACTTCGGGAACTGTTGGTGACTGCATTCACATTAATGGAAGTCGGTAGCAATATCTGTTACACATGAAGATGAGTAGAGGAACCAACGAATCAGGTAAATTAGGATCATATGCAGGAAGTAATCCGTGAGGAAAAGTCGCTGTGTAAATATCATTCGGAGTCTCGGACGCTAGGCTAGGAAAGGCTAGCAGAAGTGGATACAAGCAAGGCTAATGAAGCGCCATCGAGAATAAGGTGGTCTCTTATTAGTGTGATGGATAATGACGAAGTAACTACTACTTACTGCCACGATATGGAAATGATGATGGAGAAATTATCCCACAATCACGTCAGTCATAGGAGGACATTTATTTGATACGTAAAAACCGTACTGAGGATATGCTCACAGTGATTGATCCCTCTGAAGTACGAATTGCAAACAAGAACATGAAGAGAAGCAGGGAGGACCACGAAAGCCGACGTGTTAGCTGAGCTCTTTAGAGATGAAAGCCACAAACTAGAGGCACTTCTCGCGACCATCGCGATAATTTATGTTCAGAAGTAAGGGACCACTGAACATTGGCGGGGGAGCTCAGGCGTGGTCATCCTATTTAGGAATGGTAACCAAGGGTGATCGTGTAGAATAAGAAGAGTAGCATAGGTCGCATCTAGAACTTTAAGAAAAGGAGTCGACTAACTAATGGACGCGAAAATTCATGCTCACGTACCCAGTCTTCAGCTATACAGCGGAGAAATGCGTCGAAATTCGATTAAGTCAGGGAATCTACAAAAGCAAAACAAAACTGCTCGTAATTCGGAAGAGAGCGAATGTCATGGATGGAAGCCCAATGACAAGATGATGGCGAAATCGAGAGGGAAAGTTCAAGAGCACACACTTTGCCGATGGTACACCCGCACATTTTGAAGGAATCACTGGACAGGTGACGGACCCTCCTCGCTCATGTGTTCGACACAGATGTCCTCTTAGTGCTCCGCTATGTAACACCAGACAACCACAAGTAGCGTTGGGCTATCATTCTCCCCAAATTCACTTGATTCTCTATGTGAACTGTAAATAGACTTTCATGTTCTAATTCCATTTGCCAGAAAATAAGAGATTCATTAAATTTCAAGTATTTCTGTGCTTTGAGTTCTCTGTCTACGATTTTTGTGCTTTCGCTCCAGTTCTGATCATTTTCCTTTCTTACAGTTGTTTTTACTCATAAATTCTTTAAATTGGCGGTCGATTAAAAGGTGATGTTTTCAGTATTTTGCAGCTTCATGCAGTGTTAATCACGTCTAGATAGTAATAGAATTAATCGGCTTAGTATTTTGATTTGTAGAGAGTTCTAATCAGCACTGCTTTCAGTTTACGGTGAAGAATGCGGTGCGTAGTCGCACTATGTGTCCTCGAGTCTCTCATTCTGGTTCATTACACTCACTCAGCCCCTCGGAAAGCCCAAACCCAGGCACTGTGGAATTTGGGTGGAATTGGAAAATGCGTACTGCATTATTTTCCACTGGTACGTTTGTTATTAGTTAAAACTAGTGAAACTCAACGTTTTGAACGGAGGTTCTTATGAAGTTATCGATAGTTAATACTTGCGGATTTATTACGGCTCCTCTACAAAGTACTTTTTGCATGTAAGATGTTGAAGTAGACGAAGAAGGTTCTCTTCAATGTCCTTATTCGGCTTGTGCAAACAGAGCAGATTCAAACTTTCCGGAAATGGAGGCATTTAGGATTCTAAACAAGCCATCATACGCTTCGGATATCGCACTCGTTTTGAAAATCCTCACTCGGTTCTATTCGAATTTAAATAGTCTGATCCAATGTTAACTCTTTTATTTACTGCCTACTACAATTTTTCACGGCAGGGTATTATATAAAGCTCAAACAAGATCTCCGAAGCGCAGGTGTCTGCGGTGGGGATCGAGCACGATGTTACCCGTTCCCGGGGGCTGCGTCCACCACTACGCCATCAGGGTTCCCTGTTTTACACGTCTCTCAACTAGTCTTCTTTCCGATCCCGTTGACGGGTGGTTGCTGATGCACTGTTGAATGTAAACGGGGTGACCATCACGGTGTGGTGGTGAACACGTTCGCCCCCGAAAAGGGTATTTGCGGTTTCGAGCCTCATCGCAAATACCGGTTTCGCATACCGGCGGTTCGGAGTTTCGAAAATATCTCAGCATCATTGTGCTTGGGTCTCGTACAATTTTGCTCATTGGTAACTAATGTTTCATAGATATTGTAACCAACTCTACGTATAACTACGAGACATTAAACCGAAGCTCAACTGTCGTGATGCCATGTGTACCCACGAGACCACTTTTTGAGCAAGTGGCTAACAAGCGCACTATCGGGTCGTCTGAAATGTTGAGCATTTCTTTAAAGACACTTTCTAGAAACCATTGTGAAAAGACAGTAAGATATCATAGAAGAAAGGTCGTTTTGTATAATGACCTTTTGCCATGTCTCTAATAGTTGGAGGATCTCCCTCTCACATAGTCTGTGCATAGCTCATTGGCAAGGAAGTCCTCCACATGTACTGTGATAGCGCGCAATCGATCAAAGCGACCATCTCTCGAGGAGTTTTTAGTGATCGAACTCTATGAGATCTGCAAGGAACGACGTCGGTGAAGAATGGAGAACGTACCAAAATACTGGTTGCAAAATTCGTTTCCAACCTTCATTAAGCCTTTGCCTCTGTGTAGGTAATAAATATTTTGGTTTGATAACGAACCAACACGAGGTCGCTCTAATCTCGATGTGAAGACAACAAAGACCAACAGCGCAGGAGTGAACAACTGCTGCGGATAGTCGACTCGAATAATCGTTTCTCCAAAAAAAGCGAAACAGCGGAAACGTTAGCAATAATAAAGAATTGTAACAGCTGCGTGTAAGCTAATTAAAAAACCCAAATACTTCTTGCATCGCTGAGCTGATTGAATGCATATTTGGCCTACTCTGCGACTTGCAGAAAATGACGATGTATCAAACAAGTGTTTGTATATTTCCAGCAAGCGTAGCAACTATTCCCCCACCCACCCGGAAAGATGCGACGTTTGGTTCTCTCAGGAATCAGTATCACACCAATAACCAACCTCGTATGAACTCATTCGTGCGCAAAGCTACTGATTATTGTTAGGGAAGTTTAATTAAAGTCGGTTTTGAAGATATCAAACGCGAAATAATTTGTCGAAAATGCCGTTACTGTTCTTTCGCAGTTTCCGGTGGGGTAGACGTAAGTTATTACTCAAATTGTCAACAAAATTAATGGGGTTGCTGGAATCAAGTTGTCTTTTTACCAAAATGAAGTCAGCAACTTACTTTGACGTATCCCATAATACTCATAGTTCGTAGCAATCTCACATGGCTTTTCAAGTGAGCCGAATAATAACTACACCGTTCGTTATTCGTAGGATAGATGAGCAGTGTTCACATTCGTTTCACATCCTCCATTTGTTTCTTTCCCTTTCCCACTAGCACAATTCACTGAGGTGGTCGAACTCGTAGTTGGCATCGAACTGATTTTGAGGCTTCGTTATCTTCGCTCATGAACATGATGAATGCCGATCGAGAGTGATATTCGCTGGAAATCCGAGACAGCCATGGATGGTCATTTTCAAGTCGTCATCACAAAAGTTGACTGTCCTTCTTTCCAAAGTCTATAAAATTTCTGTACCGGAAGGAAAATGTGTAGCCGTACAGCTCTGATTCATCCAAAGTGGATGGAAGTCCAACCACCACTAGTGGGTGGGCTGAACGTTCGAGCACGAGGTTACCACCCGAATCCGTAGCGGATTTGGGTGATCAAAATTCTTTGGATTTGAAAACTCTGTTGAATTAACAGAAGCAAACTCAATTCGAAACACAGCAAATTCAAAGTATCGATTTTCATCGTGCATTTCTCGCATATCCCGTCGATTTTTCCGTAGTTTTCAAATTGGGCCATTACAATTTCAATAATTTTGTGCTACTTGGCTAATATGTCAGCTTAAATATGTCGCCAGACTAGCTAGAGGAAGTCACGGCTCACCAGAAAGCATGCAATTCCTCGTCACTCGTGCTCTGTAGGTTTTCTGGTAAAAGTATTGAGCACGACCATTTCACACCATCACATGCATTAGATATATGGGCTAATTAGTTGACCTATTCATCACATCATTACTATTTTTATACTAATTATAGGTTTACAATAATTACGGGTGCTGGTGCGGAGTCGGAGGTGCGCACAAGCCGGTCGATGGGATTGATAGGTTTGAAGCTTTCTATTTTAACGCAGATCCACCAGGTGTTTTGTAGCGGAATGGGTCATCTGTGTCACAAAAAATTATCTGTCCGGCTTAATGATGGCTCAGTACCGGGAACTACCGATGTAAAGTTAACTGCAATTGTAAAGTTGCATAATGAGCAGATGTTTCCTCTTCAAAAATATAATGCTCTTTCGAAGACACCTCAACGAGAACACGAACAACCTGTGGACCGACGACTCGGATCATCGGTTCTAATGGAGATGAAGACGACGAAACGTTAGCCGAATGAACACCCATATCAACTTCATGTAAGCTGTGGTGTTTCGGCTGATCACGCCTTCTTCAGAGCCCACTGTACTCCTCCAAAGGCGATTCTGCAACTACTGAGCACAGTGGTGTTCCCTTCGTCGCTCACTTCTTCAGCCGAGCGAATTTCTTCTCTTGTAGTTGGTTATTTGCTGCCATGGGCACTGCTTTATCAATGTATTTCTTATCTTTGCAGTTTCATGGAGCATTGAATTAGCTTTTCACCATTTAGTGGACATTCCGCGCACGAATTGTTTTTCGGATGTAGAAAACCTATATTTTGCAGTTGTTGCATGCAACACGACAAGTGCTATGACAACGCGGTTAACAGTAAGATTTGCTTCGACGTTCCTTGGGAGTACATTGACGACTACAACTGGAAATGTATCAATAGCACCGCCATATGTGATGGTAAGTACGAAAATCTCTTAGTTCTTCTTCCAAAGGTTTCTGTTGAATACTTCGAGAAGTCACCTATTTGTCCCACGAGGAAAAAAATTGGAAAAGAGCTATCGTTTAGTTTATTGTTGGCAATTTACGATTTTATTAAGTTTCAGAGGGTGTCAGTTGAATGGCATTTCTTCGTGAACTACAAAATATGGTTTGCGTCCTGTTCCACATAGCATCTGACTGGTTATTTGCATGTTGAAATCGCAGGTGTCCCAACCTTTCCTTACATCCTTGAATGCTATGCTAGGGTTGTCCCAGATCGTCATCAAATGCTAACTAATGGCTTCCTTCCTGTCAGGATTTTCATGGATTCCTGGCACTGGTCCACTCTTAACTAGGGTTTCAGCATGAGAAATCTTACTGGGTATGAACCCCTCGCGGTACCACGCCATTCGATATCCATTCATGAAGAGAGGCGAAGCATTGATAGAGCATCGAAATTATCAGAATTGAACAATGGCTTTTCATTGTTGAACAAATTTATTTTCCCTCTCAAATGCATCGATTACTAATATGTGGACTTACATTGGAGGGTACTCATCTCGGTAAAAAAGGATGAAAATTACCGTAATTGGAAGCTCTGTGTAATACTCAAAGTAAAAGTTTGGTAGAAAATGAGAGTTTCGCTTCTACTTTTGGTCGTATCTAACCAAGATTCTGACTACTATAGAGTACAAACTTAGGAATAGAACAGTTCTTTTACACAGAAGTATTTAAGTGCATAACCACCCGTGCCAATCTGCACTCTGTGACTGTGATGTAGCGGTGGTCGAGTGCTGGTCGCATTTTCCGAAACCACAAGAAAAGAAGAAGTGCACATACAAAAGAAGGATATCCAACAGCATTCCCAAATTCTCCCAGAATTAAGGCTTTTCATTTCTAACCTATTCCATTGCTTCACTTCATCTCTACCAAATTTTTCACACTTCCTCGTCCTTTTCGTAGCTCTTGCGATCTACAAATCTTAATTTTTGATTCGTCTCCGATGAGTTTTACTCTGTTCACTCTGCGTTCCTTTGATTCTACTCCGATTTGTTTTGAATTCCTCTCTGATGAAGAGATTTACAAATCCTAATTTCTGTTTTCTGTGTTTAATTTCGCTCATTCAAATCATACTGGTTTCTCATTGGCCCATCCATCAATGCACTGTATCGTCCGTAGTTGAAAAACAAAGCTGTTCAGTCAAGCTTGTACTTTGTCACTTTGTCTTTGAACTGACAACAATTTTTTTACTTTATTGCTACATATAGCTCCATATGAACTATTTTTTCTTTCAAAAACACTCACTTGCATACTGGGATGGCTCGTCTATCACTTCGAGTGCGGGCCCTAGCAGAATTTCCATTCGTTTCTCTCTCACTTAACTGCTGTCCATGGTGGTGGTGGCCTGCTTCGAAAACGATGATATCTGTGAGACCTATACCGCATCCTTAAAAGCGTTTCGACCTACGGATGCAGATGGTTGACGTTAACCACGTTGAAGAAGTTGAATTCACATATAGATCCTTTGCCTCAAACTGATGTGGCAAAACGACTGAATGAGATGGTAGCACTGTGACTATTTTAATTCTTACCTGCAAGCGGGGCTAATCAACTTATAGAAAGACAAAAATAACAATCTGCGCAGAATATAACACCATGCTAGACTTGCTCTCATTCTTCCAGTGGTCGCTTTCAGGACTACTGCTATCCCATATGCATTACCATATGCATATGTTTACTTCTCACGGGATTGCATTGCAAAAGGAAAATATCTAGCGAAGCTATTTCACTACTGCCCTGAAGTGGTGGGTGACAGTGCATGAAGATGACAATCATCGGAACACTTTTAAATTATCAAAGAATTCCAGAAATTGTCATCGTAAATGCGATGACGTCATTGGAAAACAAGAAAACAGAAGAAGGAAAAGAGGAAACGAGTAGAAAGCAACATCTAAATTGGAGACTCCAGTAATCGATCTTCGGCAATTACTCTACTGTAGATATGCGGATGATTGTTTCGGCATCTGCTGCACACAAGAAATGGACAAATGTTAGTTCGTTTTGGTTGGCTGCGACTTTCCCTACCTGGTCTGGTGACGTTTCTGAGGTGGTACGTTGACAAAGTAGCACAGAATTATTAAGAATATAGTGGCACATTTTGCAAACTATTGCAATATCGGCGGCAATATGCGAGAAAAGCATGATGAAAATCGATACTTCGAATTTCCTGTGTTTTAAATTGATTTTATCTTTGGCAGCAGAGTTTTCAAATACGCGTTCAATGAATCTTAACCACTCAAATTTACTACGAATTCGGCTGATAACGTCGTGCTCGATCGTTCGCTAATGGCTGGACTCCCATCCGGCTTGAATGAATCAGGGTTGTAAGGCAGCATATTTTCCTTCCGGTACACAAATTTTTGCGGACTTTGAAAACGAGAACCGTCAATATTTGTGGTGACGACTTGAAAATGCCCTTCCGTGGCTGTATCGGACCACCAGGAGAAATCCGTCTCGATCAGCACCCTTTCATGTACGTAAAAAAAATAGCGGAGCCACAAGTTGGGTTCGATGACAACTACGAGCTCGACCACCTTAGTGGATTGTGCTATTGCAAGGGGAAGAAACGAATGGAGTATGTGAAGCGCAAGTGAATATGGCTCAATGGCTCATCCATGTTACGATATGATAACGAAGGGTGCAGTTGTTTTTCGCATAATTTGAAAAGCCGTGCGAGCTTGCTACGAACGGTTTAGTACAAGTATTACGCAATACGTCGGAGCAAGTTGCTAACTTCATTGTGACAAAAAGTCAGCTTAATTCCAGTAAGCCTGTTAATTTCATTGACAAGTTGAGCAATAACTTACGTCTACGCTTCCAGAAACTGCGGAAAAGGAGAAACGGCATTTTCGTCAAATTATTTTGCGTTCCATATCTTAGAAACTGACTTTAATTAAACCTCATTAACAATGATCAACAACTTTCTGTACGAGTGAGTTCACACGAGGTTGGTAAGAAGTTTTTATTCGGCCGACGTTCCGGCGTCTTCCCTTTCTTCGTAACCGCGTTGATAACAGTAGATAGTTCACAACTGGATTCGTTATCTCACCGAGTAGAATCTAGTAGAGTGGGAGCACCGCTCGAATGCAGAACTACACTCGCTGAAGCCCTATTATAAAGGATGTCTATTGATCAACTATTGTCTCCAATGTGATCTACTTTTGGCGGAGATTGCACCCTCTTTCGCTGTTCAACGCAGCTATGAAGAAAGAGAAGGAACCGAAACGTTAGCCGAATAATAGCTTTTGTAGCAATCCCGTTTTGGCTTAATCAAACAGAAAATGATTTGGCATTCTTTTAGACAAGTTGACAACACATGCTGTATCTGTATCACTTGTATCAGAAGTAATCCCGTTGAGCGTCGAGTAACTTGAGCGGGCACCAGTAAATATTCCACTTTTGCCTGTCGCGGGCAAGAGCGTAGCTCAGAGGACTCTGCTCACTGTAGGGACTCATTGACTATCATTGCCTTTCCTCTAGTCTCTTCGTGGAGAACAATGACGGTCGGGCGGTGGTCTTCCTGCAGTGCATTTGACATCCCGAGGATTCCCGTCACTAACGGCTCTTGTCCATCGGTTGTCAATCATTTGCATTACGTGTCCGGCCAACCTTATCTTCGACTGTTTGGAGTACAGAACGGCATCTTTGATTTTTGATCATTAACATAGATCGGAGCTTCGGATCCCTTCCCGTACTTGTGTGACACGGGATATTCCTGGCATCGCCTTTTCGACTGCGCGTTCAATAATGCGGAGTGATTTTTCATCCTGTTTACGCAGCGCGACGGATCTTCCTCATATGAGGGATCTCGACCCGGTTAGTCGCGAGGCTACATAGCGCGTCCCCAGGTGGCGGATAGGGGGTCAATTGCGGACCAAAAGCGACCATTGATTCTCTGAGACGCAGGCGGGTCCAGTGCGTGGACTCCCTGTTCCTGCTGCGCTGATTTGGCACAAGCTTTCCGTATTTGCTAGGTTATTGTTCAAGAAAGGTGACCTACACGATATCGGCAGCTTTTGCCCAATCTGCTTGCTGTCTGTCGTCTACAAACTTTTCACTCGAGCTTTGACAGGATTGATAAAGCACTTGACGAAAGCTAGCCATTTGAGCAGGCAGTGTTTCGAAAAGGATTTAGTACCATGGACCACATCCACACATTAACAAGACTCATTGAACTATCGCGGTAGTACAAAAGGCCGCTCTGTCTCACTTTCATCGATTTACAGAAGGCGTTTTTTTCAAATGGGATAGAAGCAGTAATGCTAAGCCATTGATGGTCAACGAGTTCCTACTCATCACATAAAGATTCTTAGTGAGCTGTACAAGTATCTCACAACCAAGATATCACATTCTACAACGATATTAACATTAACGTCAAAAGAGAGGTTAGGCAAGGCGACACCATCTCGCAAAAATTATTTACCGCCTCCCTCTAGAACGTCATGCGAACGTTGGAATGGGATAACATGGGAGTGAAAATCGATGGTCGGCAGTTATATCATCTTCGTTTTGCTGATGACATCGTACTTATAACACCAAACATTAGCCAAGGGGAACGTATGCTTGCTGACTTTGATAAAGCCTGTGGAAAGATTGGTTTCAGGTAAATCTCACAAAAATGATCTTCATGAGCAACAGATTGGTTTTGCACACCCCATTAACGCTCAACGGAACGAATATCTCCGAACGCTCCAGTTATATCTTTCCTGGTCGTGAAATCTATATGATTAGCGACCTAGTTCCAGAGCTGAGCAGAAGAAAACGAGCGGCTTGGGGGCTTTCAAGAGCATCGAGGATGTAGTGAAGAGGACAAAGAACACCCGACTCCGTGCCTACCTTTTCGACTCAACGGTACTTCCTGCTCTAACGTGTACGTCAGAAACCTGGTCGCTGCGTAAGCAGGATGAGAGGTCACTCAGTGTTATCGAACGCGCAGTTGAAAGGGCGATGCTAGGAGTATTCCGCTCCACACAAGTGAGGAAAGGGATCCGAAGCTCCGAGCTGCGTCAACGATCAAGAATCAAAGATGCCGTTCTGTACGCCAAACAGTCGAAAATAAGGTGGGCCGGACGCGTAATGCGTGTGAATGACAACCGATGGACAAGAGCCGTTACTGGCTGGATTCCTCGGGATGTCAAACGTACTGCAGGAAGACCACCCAGCCGATGGTCAGAGTTCTTCACGAAGAGCCTAGAAGATAGATATGATGCTCGACGACTCCCTAGATGTAGCAGAATCGTCTGAGCTATTCATGCACGCAAGAAGGAAAATTGGATGATTTACTGGCTCCCGCTCGAATCACTCAACGATTAACGGGACTAGAAGTGATACAGGTGACACTGTTTTTTAGTCCATTTTTTTGAGAAGAAGTAAAATAAGGGGTTAAGCATAAGAAACTTTGCTTGTTCAAAAGACCTATCAGCTCTAGGCGGAAAGGTTTACGAAAAGATCGGAAAATCGGATTACGTCCGTACAATTACAATGCGCGCATATTACGAAATCGATATACAGATTTACGCAGCGACCAGGTTTCTGACGCATACGTTAACGCAGGAAGTACCGTTGCGTCGAAAAGGTGGGACGGAGTCTTGTGTTCTTTGTTCTCCTCACTGCATTTTCGATGCTCTTGAAAGCTCGTCAAGCCGTTCGTTTCCTTCTGCTCAACTCCGAAGCTAATTCGTTTATCATATTGATTTCCCGACCTAGATAGATATAACTGCAGCATTCGGAGATATTTGTTCCGTTGAGCGTGTATGAGGCTTGCGAAACCAATCCGTTCTTCATGAACATCGTCTTTGTGAGATTTGTTCGAAGACCATTCTGTCCATAGGCGTTATCAAAGTCGGCAAGCATTCGTTCCTCTTGTCTAATGTTGGGTGTTATTAGAGCGATGTCATCAACAAAGCAAAGATGATGTAGCTCCCGACCATCGATTTTAACCTCCTTGCTGCCCCATTTCAGTGTTCGCATGACGTTCTGGAGGGTGGCGGTGGAAAATTCCGGCGAGATAGTATCGCCTTGCCTAACCTCTCCTTTGACGTCGATGTTAATATCGTTGTAGAATAGTGATATCTTGGCTGTAAAATTTTGTTCAGCTCACGAGGAATCTTTATGTACTGAGTGGGGGCTCCTTGACTATCAAGGGCTTCCATGACTGTTTCTATCTCGAGTAAAACAAAGACCTTCTATAAATCGATGAAAGTGAGACAGAGCGGCCTTTTGTACTACTGCGATAGTTCAATGAGTCTTGTTATCGTTTGGATGTGGTCCATCGTGCCTAATGCTTTTCGAAACTCTGCTTGCTCACATGGCCGTCCTTCGTCCAGTGTTCTGTCAATCCTGTTTAGGATGACTCGAGTGAAATGTTTGTACACTACAAACAGAAAGCAGATTGGGCGATAGTTGCCGATATCGTGGAGGTCATCATTCGTGAGCAGCAGCACGGTATTGCTGGTCTTCCACTGAGTAGGGACCTTGCATTGAGACAGGTAGCGTGTGAAGAGACTGTTTACGTGGACTGGCGGAAGGTTTTCCGTATTCGTGAATGATTTTCGCCATTCCCTTTTTGGAAGCTGTAACTGTGCCATGTGGACGTGGGAGTGAATCCACCGTGGTTTTGTAATTGGCGAAGCTTCAGTGGGCTTTGTGAATGCTTTTCCCACCTTCTGCAGCTTCGACCTTTACTGCTGCTCTTCTCTCTTTAAAGTAGCGCTGACGTGATGTTGAATGAGCCGATCATATTCTTCGTCGATGTTATCGACAACGGCTTCTTTCCAACAACTGACCAATGAACTGAGTAAGTACCAGTTTATGGTGGTTTTGGAACTTCGGTTTTTGAATTTAACGGATTTTTCTCACTTCTGCGAGTAATGGAAACTTGCGCGAAAGAAGCGATGGTCTGATCCTGTATAGAATTATGAGACAACAAGGAAATCAGTAATGCAAAATCTTCGTTATGCTATTTTCTATTGGTAAAGCCCCATGTCCAACGTTGAAGGAATGGATTTTGGGTTTCCGAGTTACCATGAACGGTCTTTGTTGCCATGATAAACTCGGATGGCCGCTCATCCTGCTTGTTCCATTCTAATCCGTGGATCCCAATGTGACGTTCTTCAGACGTTCTTCTTGGTCCAGTCTTGGCGTTGAGATTTCCAATGATGACCTTGAAGAATGCATGGCCTTCTCTGTTGAACTTTTCCGAGTCCATATGGAACGCTTCAACTTCTTCCTCGCCATAGTTTGATGTCGTCGCGTAAACAAGGAAGATTGTCAAAGGCGATATTGACCAATACCTTTTTAATCGTAAACGTCCGATCCGGGTTGTAAGTTGTTTGAATGAATCGGTGTTCATGGACAAACTCGTGTTGACGAGAAAGCCGACGCCGCCGGCTCCTCTACTGTCGCATGTTCCGGGGAACAGTTCTTCTCTGGTGTTATAGCCGGCGTTGAAAGGCTGCCATCTTCTCGTCTCGGCCACGCCGATGGCGTCGTACTGTACCCTTCTTGCTTGAGGTCAAGTCTTCCATCGAGGACTGGGATGCAATTGTGCGTGCATTGTAGATACGGACGGTCACCTTAATCCTTGACGATTTAGGCTGCCTGGAGTGGCTCAAGAATTTAGCAGCCTCGTGGTACTCGTCGTATCCATGCTGCTTATTTGTTAGATGCGACTCCTAACCGCCTCCCATATGCTTCCCTGTCACTTGATTGCAGGCTTTTGGCCGAATTAACTCGTAGAATAGAATCCGCATAAGCGAAAACGCACCCACACACGCATGCATGAATACGCCTAGCGAATACAGAAAGTATGTGCCAAATCGGCGCAGCCTCAACAGAGAATCCATCCTCTGGATCCACCTGCGTCTCAGGGAAGCAAAGGTCGGTTTTGGTCGGCGTTTACCACCTTATTCACCACCTGGTGATGCGCCATGTAGCATCGCGAGTAAACGGCTCGAGGCCTGATGTGAGGAGATCCGTTGGCTGTTCAGTCTATCCCCTAAAATTAGTGCGGAATACAGAAAAGATCGTGCATCTCATAGTATCGGTAGTGGTATCGCATTGCTTTGTGGTAATTTCTTCTTAGTGTGTGTATAGTGCAGTAGTTGGAGGTGGGCAGAAATACACACCTGGTTCTTGGTGCGATACTGATCCCTGATAAAACCAGGCCTCACGTCGTTTTATCTCTTTGACTTCGACTATTTCCGTGCAAGAGGAGCTTTGTAGTGGAGCCGTAATATATTTAGAAGTGCCACCAATTTATGGCATCATAAGAACTTCCGTTCAAAACATGATTTCTCGCCTCATTTGAGAAGATGGCTCACTGAGGAAGACCTGGCTCGACACGAAGGCGAAGCTGCAACGTCGAGACGAACAACAATCATGGACCATCGACTCGGTTCATCGGCTCTGAGGAAGACGAAGACTTCGAAACGTTAGCCGAAAATAAATATATTTATCAACCTCGTGCAAGCTTATCAAGAAAGAATACATATAAGTTATTACGGTGGTTGCGAGAAGTTCCTGTAGTTTGTGGCTTTCGTCTCTGAAGAGGTCTATTAACACGTGGACTTTTCGTGGTGCTTCCTGCTTCTCTTCACGTTCTTGATTGCAATTCGTACTTCAGAGGAAACAAATGGTTTGGTCCTTTCTTCAGTACGATTTTTGATATGGAATAAAAGCAGGCAGAGTGTCTTCTCTTGAACCTTTCCTCTCGATTTGGCATTTATCTTGTCATTGGGTTTTCATGATACTCTTTTGATTCCAATTTATGCGGAGTGCTCTCCTTTTTCCTTCTTTCGGTAATTCCCTGCCGTCATTGAAGTTTCAACGCAGTTCTCAACCGTATAGCTGAAGACTGGGTATACGGCTGAGTCATAAACGTGAGTATAAATCTTTGTGTCCGCTAGTTAATCGCCGTGTTTTCTTAGAGCCCTGGACGTGACCATTGCTGCTCATCTTGTTTTGTAGGGTCATCTTCGGTTACTTGTCCTGAACAAAGTGGCCAGGTTGGTGGTCTCCCAATGTTCAGTGGTCCATTACTTTTGAACATAAGTTATTACGATGGTTGCGAGAAGTGCTTGGTTCTCTTCGTGTTCTTGACTGCAATGTCCTATAACTGATGTGATTGGAGAATAACTTCTCCGTCATCATTTCCAAATCGTGGAACTAATTAGTAATTATTTCACCATTATCCATCAGACTAATAAGGGAACATCTCATTCTTTACGGCGCTTCATTAGCTTTGCTTGTGTTCACCTGCACTAGTCTTTTCTAAGTTGCCGTTCAAGTCTCCAAGTGATATTTGCAAAGCAATTTTTCGTCGAGGATCACTTTCTGCAAGTGATCCTAATTCGTCTAATTAGCTGTATTTCGTACACAGGTTCGTTTGCAACAAATATTGATGTTGACTTCCACTGATGTGGACGCGGTCACCGTTACTTGGTAATGTAGTTTTTTTCTACGATTAACAGGAGTTACCACCCTTATTTAGTTGGCGATTGTTGGTTTCCAAGCTTTTTACGGGTGAAACGGTGATCGCTTGGGATTTGATAAGAATTACGGTCACAAGTTTAGAAGTAGAACGTTGAAAAACTAAAGTAGAAAACAGTTTCTGCTGTTACAGTTGAAAGCCAAAAAACCATCTCCAAGGTGAGCCGCGAACTGATCTGAATTCGATGATGACTATGCCACTCAAGATTTGATCTCCTCTTACTTCTTGCAACGCTGGACGCGTGATGGGGTTCTGAAGACAGTATATTACTCGCTGCTGCGTCTACTAGAAATCGTCTACGTGATTCAGATTCAGCCTACTGTTAGTTGATGCGCTCGTAGTGCTTCATCGTCAATTGCACTGCTTTTTCTCACCGCATAGAATTGTGACATGGAGATTTGGGTAGCTTCGGCTACATTTGCTTTCCTTTTTGCCTAAAGCAATAAAACTTAGAAGATTTTTATTAGGTGTGGTTTAATTCCATCGAACTAATTGTTCAAGTGCTTTCACAAGAGGACATAACCATTCAGCTGATAGCACTGGATAAGAGCAAAAAAAGACGAGGTAGAAGAGAACTATATTTTTCGATTAATAAGCTTTGATTGCGCATTACCTAGTACTGGTAAAGGACAGCCAGGTCAATGTTTCACCTTTCCGCCTTGCCAAAATTGGCTAAAGGACTGCACCACTATTTCACAGGCTGTTCTTACTGAAGAATCGAACGTTTTATAATCGCTATATTTTCCTTCCTTTACCACCATCTCGATGCGATGTTACACATGATGTAGGAGATGTCGTTTTCCAATAAATAAATAACATTCTTACACATACAGATGACGATTTAGCATAGATGACTAGAAAAAAATGTGCGAAATAATGCAGTAGTAGTCGCTCGTGAAGGATAACTACTATAACTGTGACGAATTAAAGGATTGCCTACCTATCAATTCCATTAGTCGGCATGTGCTCACCTCCAAATCCGCACCAGCACCCGTAGCCGACGTAAACCTGAATTTATTATATCATTAAAAATAATGCAGTGAAGAATTCAAATTCAAAAATACGTAGCTCATTACATGCTTAACCAATGTTGGTTATCTGTGAGGGCGTGATGGCGTAAACAGCTACGTTTTATATTGCCAGTAAAGAGATACTGCAAATTGGAAGGAAGCGTTTTGTTCTTTACGAAGAGTCACAGTCACGACTTCCTTAAGGTAGCCTGGTAGCAAGTGTTAGTTTGAAATGTTGAAGAAAAACTCGCGCTTATTCAAAAACAGCAGAGAACTTTTGTTAAACATTCTTAAAGAATCGACAATGATTGGTGAGAACACAAGGCAAAAAGCCGACATTTAACAGCTGTTATGTTTAAAGTATGCGTATAGTGCAGTGGTTAGAGGTGCCTTGCATTGCAAAACATGTTGGACGGACTCGCGCGCCTATGGATCACCAAGTCCGAGGTATGCAAATTGGTACCAGACCTATCTAAGAGCATTATTGCGTGATTCCATGCATCGGTAGGCCATCGTGAGTCATTGTAAAGGCCAGAAGCAATCGCCTCTAACTATGAATGTGGAAGTCGATTGCTTTCGCAGCCCTTCAGGGATTGATCAACGCCGAAAGCTTTATCCTTTCATTTTCCATGTTGAGGCCATGCTCGCATTTTTTTATCAATTATGCCTTTTATCCAAAAACATAGAAAAGCTGGCTGGCGAATACCCCTGGTTAGCAAGTTTAAACTTAGTCGAACAACGAACAATGAAAGCCAGCAATTGCAAAGCTGAACAAACACCTGTGGAAGCAAGCAGAACGCCATTCGAAGAAATTAAGCAATCAGTGTGGGAACAAGAAGAGAGCAGGAGAAAATATCTCTGAAATTGGTGCAACAAATAGCCATTTCCAGCATCTGCAAAACGCCAGCACGAAAAGGTGCTGGTGCATAGGGAAAATCACGCACTCGAACGATAATTCTAGCGAGTATGAAACCCCGTTTATCCTGCTCTTATTTCAAATTAAATAAATGCAGGTACAAAACGCCGCTCAGCATGCGACGAACTATTGAATTTGGTAACAATCATTGAAAAGCCATCGGTCACTCTGAGACGCCAGCTTGTTCCTAACCGCGTATATGACCGCCTATGCAAAGCGAAAGTTGCATTATATGTTCTACACCTAAAAGCGGTGTTTGAACGAATTCTGCAAGGTGTGACGAATCTTTTGTAAAGCATGTGGGGACGAGTACACTGCCGAAACAGGTAGGCCACTCTGCGTCAGTTAATAAATAACACCTACCCGATAAACTTGAAGTTTAACGAGGTACTGAACCAGCCGCGCAAAGAACACAATGACGTAATGAAGATTTTAACGTGAAAGTCATTGCTGCCGTACAGAAATTGAAAACCTTAAGGCGTGAAACTCTTAAAGCGTTTTGGTTTAATTCCAAAAGTCCAATAATAAACCTCAAGAGGGAGTGCTTCGTGGTTATGCATGACCTCGCGTCATTCCTCAGGCTTATTTTTGACCTGAACTAGGCACATTCCTCACCCTTGTAAGACTCCGCGGCTGGTCTCCACCAGATAACTCAGAGATATACAAAGAACAAAACGGTTAGTGTTTAAAAAAAGTTGTTTGTTATACCAATGAAAATTTGTATACTAATTTCATCTGCCGAAGACGAGAAAGTGTTTGACTGAGTAGACTGCGCGTCAAATCGACCAGACTCTGAAGAAGGAGAAACGCCGAAACGTCAGCTGTTGTAAAGCAAACGCTCTAATAATGACCTCGTCTTTGCTTACCAAGGAACGGGTAAATTATTGACCAAACCTGAGGTTAGAAGAAGGTCGATCTTCAAGATTTGCCGAACG